GTCGAAGAACAACTTAACCAGATCTCCCAAGAGGAGGAAGAAGAAGATCCCTTGAGGTTGAGGATGTTGATGTGAATGTGGTTCGAATGGAAGTTGTTCGCCATCTGGGTCTGGTAGGGAGGCTTCTGTCTGATAAGGAACCAAATATTCAGTCCATGAAAATAGCCCTAACAAAAGCTTGGGGCTTAAAAAAGAGTTATCAGATCACAGAACTAGGTAATAACCTTTTTGCTTTTCAGTTCCTTGAGATGGATGATCGCAATAAGGTTTGCTATGGTGGTCCATGGCACTATGAAAACAACTCTATGTTGTGCATGGCTAGCTGGTAGATCAAGAAGCCAGCACCTGAAGACCTGCACAAAATGGAGATTTGGGTTCAAATCAAAGACTTCCCAGCAGAGTTGAGAACACAGTCAATGGTTGAGAAAGTTGCTAACATGATTGGTGAATTCCTTTACTTTAATGATGGTGCAGAGAAGATGTGGGATGACTTCCTCCGGATTAGGATCAACATCTCCATCAACAACCCGTTAAAGAAGAAAATCAAGCTGAATGTTGATGGGAGTTGATGGAGTTCAAAATACAGTATGAGAAGTTGCATTTATTCTGCCACTCGTGTGGTAGGATAGGCCATATAAAAGTGAAGTGTCCAAAACCCTCACAGTTAGAGGTTGATCCTTATGGCTTTGATATGAGAATAGCGTCCACAGCTCCAAGGAACTGGCAATCACATCGGGCGAGAAAAGAAGAAGCAGATATATGGAGACAACTCCGACAAAAATTTGATATGCAGAGTTCAGGATCAAATTCGGAGAAGGAATACCTTAAAAACCAGAAGAAAAACAGGCAGCGCTGTTTTCTAAAGCACAGGAGATTGAACAAGAGCATGTCCCAATGGAGAAAGGATAGGAGGGCACTACTCAGATGCCGCAGACACCTACTGAAGCATCTAATGTTGGAGGAAAGGCAAAGGAAGATATACCAGTGGACAATGCTACCATTAAGGAACGCAACAATATAGCTGGTAGAGCAGGAGTAGTGAAACAACTTACAACTACTAATATTACAGCACAAACACAAAGGAAGCTAGGAGGGAGGGTGTGGAGAAGACAGGAATAAGGGAAACAAACCCTCCACAGCTTACCCCGCAAAAGAGAGGACTAAAACCTACGGAGGAGAACATCATTCAGGGGTAAAATGAGAGCAAAAGTAAGAAGAAGACGAAGACTTTAGTTTTCCCCAAACTAGCAGATACAGAGAACCTCAAACACAATCAGAAGATGGTTGGCGATGCGGCAGACCCTGATAGTGCTCAGGGCCTCAATGAGCATCCTAAGTTACAACTGTCGGGGGATCGGGAATATCCTGACAGTTGAGAAGGTGAAGACGTTGTTACGTCAAATCAATCCCGAAGTGGTCTTCTTGATGGAGACACGACAGTATGAAAAAGAATGGAAACAAAAGATAAAAGAGTTTGACTACTATGATGGGCAAGGAGTAGCAACATGAGAGAATAGAGCTGGAGGGCTACTCCTCATGTGGAAAGAAGAAGTGTTAGTGGAGGTTAAGAATTGTACACGAAATTACATAGATGCAAAGGTCAAGTGGATTAGCTCTCAGAGAGAATGGCGCTTGATTGGCATTTATGGATGGCCGGAAACAAAAAACAAGCATAAGACCTATGAACTGCTAAAAGAGCTCTACCATAGAGTACAAATGCCTTGGTTGGTGGTGGGAGACTTCAACCTGATAACTGATTACATAGAGAAGAATGGCAACCATCGTCCTGAGGTTAGAGAAATGGACATGTTCATACAGGCCCTAGACTACTGTGGCTTGGAGGACTGTGGGTACTATGGTAGAACCTTCACTTGGGAAAACAATAAAAGTGACGGGGATTACACTGAAGAGAGATTATATACGGCGATGGGAACAGAGGAGTGGATGGTCTGCTTCCCTAATATGAGAGTGTATCATTTGGATCGATGTGGCTCAGACCACATCCCAATACAGGTAAAGTTGGACCTAGAAGACGATGAAATTACCTGGGGATGGAGCTTCAGGTATGAGCCTTACTGGGAAAGGCACAAAGACTGCCGAACAGTAATTGATGAGGGATGGATGGCACAGGGCCCTGTTGGCATCATGGAAAGAATACAGAGCTACAGGTATGCCAACAAGATTTTTCCAAAAGAATTGGACAGTCGTGGGGCCAGCAGTGAAAGAGGAACTCATAAGCTATTTAGAGAGTGGTGAATTCCCCCCTAATTGAACCACACTCTAATAGCTTTGATACCAAAAACGAAAAAAAAAACCTACAACTCCTCTTGAATTTAGGCCAATCAGGCTATGCAAGGTTTTGTACAAGATTATGTCCAAAGTCCTAGCCAACAGACTAAAACGAGTGCTGGACAAAGTCATTGGAGAGGCACAAAGTGCTTTTGAGCCTCGAAGGTTTATAACGGATAATGTTCTAGTTTTTTTTGAGTGCTTTCATGCCATGAAACAGAAAAAGAAAGGTTTTAAAGCATCTGTGAGAGGACCCTCCATCTCACATTTGCTTTTCGTAGATGACAACATCTTCTTCCTAAGGGCTACCCCTCAAGTGTGTCAGCAATTGAAAGAGATCCTAAAACACTATGAGGAAGATTCTGGCCAAGTAGTGAATATCTAGAAATCTGAGATAAGCTTTGGCCCTAGTGTTAAGACCGAGAAACGTCTATTGTTGGCCAACTCTCTGGGAATGAAACAGGTGGAGAACCATAGCAAATACCTGGGATTGCCTACTGTAATAGGTAGAGGATAACGAGCTGTGTTTGATGTCCTAATAGATAGAATAAGAAAGAAAAATTAAACATTGGAAAGGGAAAACTCTGTCAGCAGCAGCTAGAGAGGTATTGATAAAAGCAGTAACTCAATCTCAAGCTACCTATACGATGTCAGTGTTTCAGGTGCCTACTGGTGTTCTTGATGAGATAAAAACGCTATTTCTACCTTATGGTGAGGACAGCAGAAGGAAGAGAGGAGGATTCCTTGGAAAGCTTGGAAAAAAGTGTGTAAACCAAAGGAGGAAGGCAGGATGGGTTTTAGAGACCTGAAAGCATTTAATCTAGCTCTATTGGGAAAACAGGTATGGAATCTCTTTACCAATCCAGAATCCCTGGTTGCTAGAATTCTCAAGGAAAAATACTATCCTAACTCGAACATCCTACAATCTAGAGTGGGGCACAACCCGAGTTACACATGGAGGAGCATTATGTCAGCACAACAATTGGTGAGGAGTGGCCTAAGATGGAGAATAGGGGATGGCTCACAAGTGAATATATGGGGGGATAAGTGGATAGCAGGAGGAGAGGATTCAGGTTATAGGCTGTTAACACCTCCCCTGGAATCAGAGGAGATAGTTAAAGTCTCTATGTTAATTGATCATGAGAATAGAACCTGGAGAAGCAATCTTCTCCAACTTTACCTAAACCCAGAAGATAGAAGGAGGATCATAGGGATCCCTATTCCCATACAACCTGCAGCTGATGAACAGGTATGGAGTAAAGAGAAAAATTGTGTCTACTCTGTCAAATCGGCCTACAAGCTTGCCATAGGGGGCCTAGCCATCTTACACGGGGACGTCTCTCAAGATGGGGATCTAGCAGAAGAGGATGGTGAGATTGAACACGACGACCCTATGAACTGGAAGAGGCTGTGGAGTCTTGTGATTCCCCCTAAGGTCATAATTTTTCTCTGGAAAACTATTCACAACATACTCCATACTGGGAAAAACATCGAGGGACGAAAGAAGGATGCTGCAAAAGAATGGCTCTTTTGCCACCAAGAGGAAACACAGAACCATATCTTCAGGGAGTGTCAATGGGCAATAAGGGTTTGACGATCCTCTATGTTTTGACCCCTATTCGAATTAGAGCCTGAACTGTCAATGTCGTCGCTCGATACAAAAGAAAGCTGGGATGGACATGGGAGCAACAAAGTGCCCCACCTCTCTTCCAACCTCCTTGACCCGCACAAAACAATGTGGCCGATTCCCGCCGATCACCACATCAACATAAATCCGGATGGACCTAGAGACTACGAGTTGCAGAGGAGAAAAGTTGAATTACGCCTTCCAATTTATAGAAACCTCATGGTTTGTGACGAGCGGGGCAATGCGGTGATGGGACTCAAAGTTTGTAGGGAATAAAATTCCCTTCTGTCAACCAGGCTGGCGAATGTTCTAATTAGACACGACGTGGGGAGAGTTAAATCGAGCAAGTCGAGTATGGTTCTGATTTGCACGCGGAATGGGGTTATGGCCGAGCAAGCCTGCAACGAACAGAGGAAAATCGATTCCAAGACAGTAGTTGATTCAATTCAACCAACTTCAGTACAAGGTGTGTGTAAAGGGGGTAAAATCTCCACCTAGGTCTTTTTAGTTTATGCTTTTCGTTTCAAGCTAAGTTATTATTTAGTTAATTTGTGAGTTATGCGCGTTATGTGTTTGAGGCATCCCACTGCCTTCTGAAGGTGGAGGCACACGTTGTGATTGTATTTGTATGAATGTATGTGATGTTGTATGGATTGATGGTATGAGTAACCCCCGGGCGGTTGGGCCACTACTGGACGCGGTAGATGGTCGGGTCACTGCTGGACGGCGAGACGTAACTAAGCAATTGATCGAGTATGTTGGGGTCGCTTTGGATGGTGAGACGTAACGCAGTAGTTGAGTGGGTATGCAACCGGACGGCGTAACGCGGTGGTCCTAGTGTCTTCTGTTTGAGTTAAGGATAGAAGTCGAAAACTTCTATGAGTTATGTCGGAATAAAGTGTCAAGGATAGAAGCATATAACTTCTATAAGATAAGGTTAGGAGTAATGATATTCCATATGTTATTGAGTAATAAATTAAAGTATGAAGGATGAAAGCGAAAACGACTTTTGTCTAAGAGAGGAACCCCGCTAATAATGTGTTTAGTAAGGGTTTGCTTAGGGCAAGACCTTAACAAGTAACGACGAGACTGATCCCTTCTCACCCACCACGTTGAGGAAGGGTTAACAAGCGTGTTTTTCGAGAAGAGGCAGAATGAGGCGAGTAGCCGTACCAACATGGACAAGGTCTCAAGAAGCTCAGCGAGGAGTTAGAATAAGAGTTTGTTCAGTTAGTTATGTTTATGATTATGAGTATAACTGGAGGTTCAAAGGTTGATCTTTATTGACCATGTTTTTGAGGTCGCCCACGTGTTTAGGGCATCGCATTTGATGTTGTTCTTGGAAATGATTAAGTTGTATTTTAATTTTGAGCTTTGTTTTTAACTGGATCCGGAGCCATAAGTATTTCGGTTGAGTAAAAGTATCGGGATGTTTCAGATACTCTCGCTCAAGTGGGAATGCTCCTTTGGACGATGTCGAATGAAAGAAATAATCACTTGTTCAACAACAACAAGGTGAAAGAGTGGGAGATTGTTCAAAAGGCGCTTAATTATTGGGAGGAGTTCACAGATCACCATCGTCAAGCTACTGTCGAGAAGGTGGAAGAAATACGTACCTGGAAGCGCCCACCACCGGGCTGGGTAAAGTTCAATATGGACGCGGCGGTGCTGAAAGAAGGAGGGACGGGTTTAGGAGTGGTAGCTCGTGATTAGGACGGGAATTTCGTCATGGCGGCAGTCCGCATGGAGCGCAACTCCTGGACGCCGGAGCTGGCAGAGCTTCGAGCCATCGAAGTCGGCCTGGAAATGGCGAGGGAAGAGGGTATCGTCCCTGTGCTGGTGGAATTGGATTGTCACAATGCCATTCTCAAGCTACAAAGGCAGGAGTCTTCGAGACTAGAGATAGGTGTGCGTGTGAGGGAGATTCAAGATCAGGCAAATCAGCTTGGTTCGGTTGAATGGTGGTTCGGTCGACGGGAAGGGAACCGGGCAACACATGCAATGGCACACGTCAGATGTGATTGGGAAACCCATGAGAAATGGGCTGAAAGACCACCAATTTTTCTGTTGGATCTGTTATCAAATGAGGCTCTAGCCCATTAATAATATTTCAGGAACTTTCTATAAAAAAAAACTAAGAAATACATAATGTTAGTTTTCTCAAAACCAGAGTAGAATCACAATTTAAATTTTTTTTAATCAATTCGTAGTACCGAATGCTCAGCGATCCACAAAACCTGTGGTGCGATCACCGCATATCACGATAGGACCGACGTTTCTATCTAACAACAACAACAAACATTGTGACCCTACCTTTAGTGTAGATGAACCTTAACAGACAGCTACGGGTACCAAACTCAGATTGTGCTTGTTCTGTCAACTATACTGGTATCTCTCATACGTGCAAAAAGGATTGCTAGCAAACCATTTTTAGGGTTTGTAGGTGTAACCCAAAAGGGAAGAAAGAAAACGAGAATGGGTTGCTTTCATGTGCCTATACCTCGTATTCGATCAGTCGACTCCATTGAAGATCCATGTGGCGGGATGTTTGGCGAAGATTCTCTACGACCGTATGGCATTATAGTAGCAGCTTTTAATCTGGCTTCACAAATATAATATGATGCTTCAAAAGAATGCAGATGAAAGCCACCATTAGAGTGTACCATATCATCTAAGAAGTTAGAACATGTAACATGGTTTGTTAACATAGGTTATATAATTCTCTTTTCATATTAGAGATTAAGATCATGTCCAAAACAATGAGAAATCGAAAGGTTTTCTTACAAAGATAAATTAGATCTTGACATTCAATTCGAACATAATATTCCTAGTCGGAGTGATATGATTTAGTGGTGAATGTTAAAGAGAAGGTGCCTTATAAGTTGTATAGGTCTCTTGTTTTAATTCGGGGTTTGCAATGGCCCATTCTAGTATTGGACCGAACCAAACTATGAGAACCGTGGTCCAAAGGTATTCGATTTAATTGGTCTGGTCCGAATATAATTTTGCTTCAAAATTTCTTCAATGAAAAATATTTGTTGCCTTTAGAGGATCCACTTCATGTCTTCATCTAATTCATCGTGGAGTTTATCCACACAATTGAGTGTTTATTCACATAAGATTTGTCATTATTCACCCACCACATGGAATCCCAAACTTTTTCTGTCTCCCCCACCCTCAATTATCCGTAAAAATGAGTTGCACTAATCATAATCTATAAAATGACATAAGTTTTATATATTTCAAAAATTCTAAAATTATTATAAAATGATAGCAATAAATAATGACATCCGTGAATAATCACCAAATTGCATAAATACATACCAATACGACATGAATAAACACAAAATTACAGGAATAAATACAAAAAATACGTGAATTAGGTGCTTTGATGACACCTCTAGAGACAACCTGAATTTTCTTCAATATTCACAAAAAATTGTGAGGCAAAAAATTCCAGAATAAACCGATCTAAATATTTGATTTGATCAAGTACAATCAGGTGTCTACCAAACGGTTGCACTTGCACACCTAGTTGTGATCCAATAATGGTTTCTCCCTTTGTTAAAAAAAAATGATAATACAAATATTTGTATGTTTAATCCAATGGTCACCGTGGCAGCCCTAAGGGTCACGACTCACGACGACGACAGTCAGACAGTGACATCGTCGGTGCTTTCTTTTTCCCAGACTTCGTGACCATTAGTACCCACTAGTATCCTTCGTTCGCATTTCTCCTCTGTTCTCTCCGGCGCCTCTCAGCTGTCTGAACTGATTCAATTTCCGACGAATTGAGCGTCTGGTCGGGATATTCCCCATAATTGGTGAGCATCCTCCCTTTTTTTCTTTTTTGCCTTTTGGCCGCACTTGTTTGGATCCCGGTGCTTCGATTCTCACAAATTGAGCAAAAGGGTATTGGCTTCCTTTGTCGCCAGAATCGAAAGTTGATCGCTTTTTCCCTTTTTGGTATGGTTGATTCGGTTGGCATTCGGTCGGAGCAGTGAGGTGGAGTTTTTGAATGCTGAGGGAGAAGCTTCGACGTGTTTGAAATGAGCTGCAGTGCATGATGAGGAAGGTAGCGAGGAAAGTTGGGAAGTATGAGGTCGGCAGGACGATCGGCGAAGGGACTTTCGCCAAGGTTAAGTTCGCTCGGAATATGGAGACTGGTGAAAGCGTCGCCATTAAAGTGATGGCCAAATCCACCATTCTCAAAAACAAAATGGTCGACCAGGTCCTGCTCTCATTCTCCCTCTGCTTAGTTGATCTACTGCTGAACAAAATTGGTAATTCACAAGGCGACGAATGGGATGGAAATTAACCCCATTTTTGCTTTACCCGAGCTTAATAGTTGATAAAGAAGTGTTATAGGTTGTGCAGGATGGACTTCGTTTATCCCTTGATTCTTATGTTCTCATGGGAATTGTTGATTTTGGGTTTCAGATTAAAAGAGAGATATCGATCATGAAGATTGTCAGACATCCTTATATTGTTAGGTTGCATGAGGTACTCTTTCCACTCAGCCTATTTGGTGATTTAGCAATGAACCTTTAGCAATAGTCCTACATCATTGTGTGCCCCTGTGGTAAAACAAGTAACTTTTTGTTCTATGCAATATGCTGTTTGTGTAACTAGGTTTTGGCAGGTCGGACGAAGATATATATCATTCTTGAGTTTGTTACTGGTGGAGAACTGTTTGATAGAATTGTAAGCACCTATTCTACAGACTTCTTTGCTTTTTCTCCTTCTCCTTCATCTAAAAGTTCAACCGACCAGCGGAAAGTTCCTAATTGCACAGAAATTATGCTTATTCTCCTTTTCCTTTAAGTAAAATGCACATATTATCATTGTCATTGTAGTGCATATAAACAAACCCCAGTTAGTTTGTTGTTATGTACTCAGAAGTTTGGAATGCGGTTGTTGCTTCGATAACTATTCTTAACATGTCCAGAGCCTAATTGAAACCTTTTCCTTTTACGGGCTTCCAGGTTCACCAAGGAAGACTTAAAGAGCATGAGGCAAGGCGATTCTTTCAACAGCTTATAGACGCAGTAGATCACTGTCATAGTAAGGGTGTGTACCACAGAGATCTTAAGGTGAACGACTGTAGGGAAGAATTAACTTCCTCGTTCAGGAAGTTTAATTTGGATGTTCCGAGACTAATCAGGCATTTCCTCCCCCCATGCAGCCTGAAAACCTTCTTCTTGACGCTGCCGGGAATTTGAAAGTTTCTGACTTTGGATTGAGTGCGTTGCCTCAGGATGTAAGTAGCCAGTTACTACCTTAATTTGCCACTGGTTTTTTGTCTAGGAAATTCATTGCAATCAATCCGATACAACATTCATCTGTGATGCAGGGTGTTGGTCTTCTCCATACTACCTGTGGTACACCTAACTATGTTGCCCCGGAGGTACTGTTGTAAGCGAACATGAAATATATGTTTTTAACTCACTGCTTGATGTTGGGTTCTTGATGTTTTTCGTATTCACTCATATAGTCAAGGACCCAATGTTGTCTCTACGGTGTGTGTCTTGAGGCGTGTGCAAAGTTTTTGGCAGTTATTCCCCTAGTAATATCATGCAGAAGAAAATCAGTCAGTTGGCTCAAGAGCGACTTAGTTTTCTGAGATTGAGGAACTGTCTTTCAGGTGCTGAGCCACCAAGGATATGATGGGGCAGCTGCGGACATATGGTCATGTGGAGTAATCCTCTATGTTCTGATGGCTGGATATCTTCCATTTGACGAGACAGATCTTCCAACTCTGTACAAGAAGGTTAGATTCTGTTTTTATTTTCTTGGCAGAGCTGACTGGGTTTCCAGATTTATAGGGTACTTCATGTCTAAAATTAATGGTTCTCAAAGCACTAGGGTACAGACATTCATACATTAGCATGTCATAAAAGTCCAGCTGTGCATATTTTGCTGCAAACTATTCTATGGATGTAAATTACCTGCTACCTCTAACTCCTTGACGATCAATTAATTTCCTTGTGAAATTGTACCTCTATCACAATCTAGAAGAGGGCGCGGCTTATAAACCAATCCTTTCTTCTAACATTTCTGTTTTGAGGCATTCCTGCCTCGGGATTGTTGTTTCGTCTTTATAGATAAAATTGCTGATCTCTTGTTCATTTGCAGATAAATGCTGCAGAGTTCAGTTGTCCTTTTTGGTTTTCTCCGGAGGCAAAGGCTCTGATAGATAAGATACTCACTCCTCATCCGAAAGAAGTGAGTACTATTTTTCTCGGTGAAATAACTATTTCGTGATGTACATAGTAAGTTGTTAGACTGCTGTTCTCCTCAAGCTGCATGATTAAAGCACATGTTGTAAAAGTTGTGTCTTTTATATCATTTTTCTTTTTCACGATTGTAGTTACCTGATAGATAAGATACCTTCCAGGCTCATATTCATGATTGTAGTTGTAATGTACCATCTTTTTGTTCCTTTTGCCGTAAAGCATTAACAAATCTAGCTAAGGTTACACTACGTGACAGCTTCTTGGTGGAGTAAAAAACTGATAAAAAATATTTGGTACCTGGTTTTGACTTCCAAATATCAATGCTATGATGTGCTTTAATTTAAGTACCTAAATATCCTGCAGCGCATAAGGATAAATGGAATTAGAAGAGATCCATGGTTTCGGAGGAACTACGTGCCTGTGAAACATACTGAAGAAGTGGAAGTGAATCTGGATGATATTCGTGCAGTTTTTGATGACATCGAGGTGGGCCAATCATGCTCACCCCAGATATACTTATGCAAGCTTCTGAACTCTGATTTGTATCTTCATATAATCCTAGTGTTCGTCATATTACAGGACCAATATGTAGCAGAGAAATCAGAATGCAGCGACACTGGACCATTACTAATGAATGCCTTTGAGATGATTACCCTTTCCCAAGGGCTAAACCTATCAGCATTGTTCGATAGACACCAGGTGTATAAAACTTCCTCAAGAATCACATACATGGAGTGCATAAATTTGAAAGTCCTGCTTTCTCTTAACAAGCCGGCCAATTATTATTATTATTTTTTTTATCTTAGTTTTGCTTCTGAATCAATCGTCTGAGGGCATCAAATTTCCCAAGTGCAGGACTATATAAAGAGGCAGACTCGTTTTCTATCCCGTAGACCAGCAAAGGATATAATCTCATCAGTCGAAGCAGTTGCTGTCTCACTCGGTCTCAAGGTTCATACACGTGGTTACAAGGTCCGAGCTTTTCTGAACGCTACCTCTATTTTCCATAAGCTTACTAGTGTTGCTGTCACAGTATAAAGTTTCCCCTTCCTAGATCATTGTCCACGTCCTGCTAAATCTGCATTATGGACTTCCAATTATTAATGGAGGCAGAAAATATGTATATGCATAAAATGAAGAAAGCAAATAGAGAAGGAATTTGCAGCCGAAATCGTGTATCAGTTCTACACAAATATCCCACCTGAAATATGCCGGCAGACTAAAAAACTATCTTGCAGACGAGGCTTGAAGGAATGTCGGCGAATAAGACAGGCCATTTGGCAGTGGTGTTGGAGGTACTCTCCTCTACAGCTTCCAGCCGTCGCCTCTTTCCCAGCCTTTCTGTTCTCCTGACCAGATTCTTTCTTTGCCTTATGTTTCTGTAGATCTACGAAGTCGCACCTTCACTGTTCATGGTAGATGTCAGGAAGGCATCCGGGGAGACTCTCGAGTATCACAAGGTAGGTACCTCTCAAGTATGATCGTTGGCTAGTTGGCTAGTTGGTCTCTGCCACTGTAATTGTGCTTTCTTGAGACGATCAGAGTCATATCGAAATGTGGTGGTGTTTTGTGGTGCTGCAGTTCTACAAGAGCTTCTGTGCGAAGCTCGAGGATATCATATGGAAGCCAGCAGAAGGAGCAAACTCGAACCTGCTTCGGACCATAACTTGCTAATCCAGACTCCAGAGTGGGGAAAGGTTTCTCTGGGCTTCAAGCAAAGCTAGAATAAAACTGTAATTAATCTCTCTACGTGTTGGTTCGATCTTGATTTTTTGACAGCCATGTATCGTCGTTGTCTGCATATATCACTGTGTACTCACAAAGGGTTATAGAAACTGTAGTCTATCAAAGATGGTAATATTGAGCTCTGGGTTTCTAGTAAATTTGCTCAGTTTTTTTTTCATTTCTATTTTTTTTCATAATGATTATTGTAACACCTTAGCTCGGCCGAGCACTACTTTTACCAAAATACCCTTGAGTAATCAAATAACCAAAAAGGAAAGAACATCTAAAGTACCCTTTCAAAATCAACGTAGGAAATATCTCTTAATAAATCATAAATGAGCATCAGTCTCAAGCCTACTAATAAAAGTACATAAGTGAAGGAGTTCACTTGGGATCTTCTGCATTCACTAACCCTTGTGAAGATACATCTCGAGCAGCAGCTTCTTCCTGACAAATGATATGATTGCTCCCACTTCCTTGCAGCTCCTGAGTGCGGGCGTGGGGTCAGTCCTAATCCTATAATCATCCTCAAACACACGTAGAGTCATGCACATGTGGTGGTCGTATAAGTAAAATGCACAGTTTATTAGGGACGGGGTTTCGTTATTTCTTGCTTACATGTTTTATCTTATAATGGGGCCACGCCCTCCACTTAGCTAGCACAATCGTCCGGTAAACTTGTCATAACATATCTTTACATGACTACCCTCACAATGGGGAGCTTTAACGTGTAAACTGTGCTAAGGCAAAACACCCACACAATGGGGATCCTGCGCCTATCTAAGGCGAAACACCCGCAAAATGGTGATCATGTACCGCGTGTGTGCTAGCTAAGCGAGGATTAAACATGTTATTGCTTGTTCTTACTTATTATCTGGGTGATTTATCCTTGCTCGGTCGAATCAATCTCTCACACATGGAGAGACGTTATTCATCATATACTTGCTTGACAACCTAAGCTTGTCAAGGATGATCTCCTCCAACAGAAGGAGATCTAAACTTATAATTTCCATACTAATATGATTTCTCCGTAGAGAAATTGATGCTATGCGTACACATGAACTTAAGAATGCACATAATCATCAAATCATAAATGCAGAACTTAAACATATCAGAACTAGCACTCAATTAATTCAAGAAAAAGACACAATTCAACACCTAAAAAGTAACGGAGGATGAAATACTAACTAGCCCCTTTAACCAACGCACCTTATTAACTCAAGAAAGTTGACTTGATCTAGCCACCAACTCAAAGGATCGATGCTTTGGGATAGGTAAGTTGCCTTGGTGAACCTATGACGAAAATTGAGATCAGATCGGTTGGGTTTTGGGTTATTTGCAATGGCTCCCTCTATTTGTTAATTTTCTTTTAATTTAAATCGCATAATATTCTTCCCGGCACAAACTGTATTTTAATAACTAATAACTTAATCATCTTAACATATTAACTTACTTTAAGAATCATTTTATCAACTTCATTCATCATATCATTACTATATCTCTAATTCACTCGTTAACTCATTTTATTAATAATATCATAACCCAAGGACTAATAAAATTACCTATGCTTATCTTAATTAACTAAATCCACCAACAACATGTTTAGCCGATTACATACATAATCATCACCTAATTATTAACCTAGAGAGTTAAACCGTAAAAGCTACAGCCCCTATAGTGCCAGTCAATAATCTGGTCACTAAAGTTCCCGTTCCAAAAGACTGACAGGGCTCCTGAATCCTGATGGGCCAAACCTTTCGCAACGCTATCATTTTCAGGTGGCTAAAGACTGTACTTTCGTCGCAAATTTCCAGATTGCAACAAACTCATATTTAACCATGTGAACATCGATTTTAGAGCAAGGGATCGGGTTTCCTTACTACAATCACGAGTTTAGAGAACAATTTGAGGATTCCCGGACGTTGTTTCTCCGCCTTAGATCGTCGTTCGAGTCCCCGCAATCCCACCGGCAAAACTACGGATGAGATAGAGGAAGATCCAGAGCTGTGCCCGCCGAACAGAGGACACGACGTACGGAGGAAACGAGTGTGTGTTTGGCGTCGGCGTCGCTCCCGGCTTGCGTCTCTGCCGGCTGCCGTTTCCGTTGGGGAGCTCGCTTGCTACTGGGTCAAGGGAGGAGGTAGCGGTGATGGGAACTGGGAGGTGGCGGTGGTGTTTAATCGTGCGAGGGGGAAGCGGGAGGAAAGACGGCGCTGCCGCTTTGGGATTTATTAGTTTAGGGTTCTAGTTCCTACGGTTTGGCCACTAGGTTTAGTTTTGGGTATGCCTATGGTGACATGCATGTCACGGTGACTTGCACTTTCCGGTCGACCTCATATAGGATCCGGTCGACCTCATTTAGGATTCGGTCGACCTCATATAGGATCAGGTCGATCTAATCTGTTGTTTCAGTGTAAAAACAGTTCATGGTGCCTACTTTGGATATTCATATCATACAATTGGCTAGATAGAAATTGAAGACAAATGACTTGTTTTGAAGCTGGAGTGTCCCTCTACATATTGAAGTGGAAGAGAGCTCGATAGGAAGTTCAGAAGACCATTTTTTAACCTCATCAAAAGGCTATGCCAAAACTGGGAAACTGCCTGGAAATGGCTAAGTCTGGAAACATGTTTGTGAAGCCTATTTTGGAGCTCAATTCGAGAAGCATGAATGCGAGTCGAGGAGCCTCTACCACGTTAAATTAGGTATGTTTTTATACAAATTCAAGGCATTCGATGAAAGATTGGATATCTGTAAGGCTTTAAACGGAAGGGTCGATGTTGCTACGAAGGTTGTTTTTCTGGCAGACTTCAAGCACAAGCAAGCTGCCAGAAAAACAGCCTTCGTAGCAACTTCGAGCCTTTTGTTTGAAGCCTTAAAGATATTCAATCTTTCATCCAATGCCTTGCCTTAGTATAATAAAATACATAATTTAACGTGGTAGAGGCCGCTGGACTTGACTCGCATCCATGCTTCTCAAATTGAGCTCCAAAGTAGGCTTGACAAACACGTTGTTAGACTTAGCCATTTTCAGGCAGTTTCCCAGTTTTGGCATAGCCTTTTGGTCAGGTTAAAAAATGGTCTTCTGGACTTTCTATTGAGCTCCCAAATACTTTAATGTGTAGAGGGACACTTCAGCTTCAAAACAAGCCTTTAATCTTCAATTTTCATCTAGCCAATTGTAAGATATGAATCTCCAAAGTAGGCACCATGAAACTGTTTTTACACTGAAACAACAGATTAGATCGACCTAATCCTATATGAGGTCGACCGAAAAGTGCATGTCACCGTGACATGCATGTCACCGTAGCAAAATCCTTAGTTTTTATATAAATATATCCACATGCATTGAGAGGGAGAAATCCCCACCTGTTGCCGCACTTGTTTAGGGTTATATAGAGTTAATTAATTAATCATAATAACTAAATATGGTAAATTTGGAAATTCATGAAAATTCTAGGTACCGAGTGTGACAATTATTACCAGAATCTCTCCTCACAAACTTCTCGCATATATACGGTAAACAAATAAAAGAACCAACTACATCACAAAAAACAAAAACAAATAATGCTCACATACTTGCAAAAAACAAATAGAGCCTACTCTATCATTATGAACAAAAGTATTGGGTAAAATAAAAACAATGAAAACAAACTGTGTAGAGGAAGGAGCAAGGTTGTCAAACCGGTTTATATCGGTGTGCCGGTTTTGTAAGTGGAATGATCTGACCATGGTACAACCAGTATTCATGCCGGTTGTGCCGGTTTTAATAAAATACATGAGAAAAATGGAAATCCTCAATTTCAAATAAATTAGTCATAAAAAAGCAATTAGAAGAATTATTTCACACAAAATAATTTATAGCTAAGAATTGGTAACTAATACTAAACAATTAGATGGTTAAAAATAAAATTTTATTAAATAAATTTTATTAATGTTTATAATGATTTGTGTAAAATTTAGTATTAGATATATAACATATAAGGTTAATATAGACAACAAAATTGCTTGCAGCCTACTGGTGTATTAGTTAAATTAAAATGAACAAGAGGTTTTTGGTTCAAATCCTATGGAAGATGGTTATTTTTGGATATAATGTGTGTAAAATTAAATTCCGGTTTCTGGTCTAACCGGCCGGAATTTCCGGATTTGACCGGATCTGACCGGCATTGACCGGATTTGACCACAGTTAAATACCGGCCCCTTTCCAGCCGGTTTGCTGACCGGTACCGGTTGAACCGGCCGGCATGAAACCGGTTTGACAACCATGGGAAGGAGTAATGACTAATGCAAAAAAAGTTATCATTAACTTGGTTTCTATGTAAACTTCAGAGTAGTTGAAATCGTTGAAATGGTTTTGATAACTAGTAAAAGATCATGCCTTGGGAAATAACTTGTCTGTGGTTGAAAACATGTAGTTCTTGAGTGAAACCCAGATAACTTGGACAAAAAAAGCATCTTTAATTATCAAATGACATTGAGAAAATCCACACGAGTTTCAGATGCTCGATTCTTGAAATATACAATTCTTAATACCGCTCTTCCTAACGAAACTACAAATAAGATGCAAGTAAACACACACATTAAATATGAAATTTATTGTCAATCTTACAAAAGAAGTTTTTGATAGGTGATGTTGGTACAACATGATATAACTTATCACATTCTTGTAAGCGATACCAATTTGACAAACATATTTCACGAATGAAAAGTGAAACGTGTTTTTATAGAAGTGCAATAGGACAAAAGATAGGTTCACATACCTTATGATTAAGTAGTAAATTGAATTCGAGAGCCAGGCGAAACCCAGACCCCATTAGAATTTTAGTTATAGTTTTCCTTGCGACAGTACGCGACGGGGTGGTACTTAAATGAACACATGTCAATTAGTTTGAAATTGGAAGTGTTTGTTCATAGAGTTTGTGACATGATCACTTGCTTGTGGTAAAAGTGTAAAACCCACTGGAAGATTCTAGGCTTTGGGTGGCTAATTGGTTGGATGACCATCAAGCCGGTCAACAAGCTAAAAGAGGGCACAAATGCATGACCATTGATTCAATTGGTAGATTAAGATTCCTTAGCATCATAGGATAATAGGGTATTACTTGCAATTTGATTCAATCTGAAAAAGAAAAATGTACTTCCAAATCATAGAACTACCAGAGATGGTATTATTGAGCTCTGGGATTCTAGTAAAGCTGTAAATAGTATCCCGTAGGTACAACTAAGATTGAGCTCAACAAAAGTAGAACACGATCATCCGATCGAATTTTAATCCCATCTCAATACGACTACAATTTGTTTTGCTTTAGCAAGAGAGGACCATGTATATGTTGAAACGTCCAACACCATATCTTCGTCTGTAACTCATATTCTGCCAACTGTATCTCTTTTTATGATCTTCACATCTTCAAACTGATGGCGCCAACACTTGCATTCGATTTCACGACGACTATTAGAATCTCTCTCTATAAACTGCTCGTATATGTACTACCAACAAATAGAAGAACCAATTCCATCCGGAAGGAGAAATGCCTAATGCAAAAAATTTACTATTAGCTTTAAATTTTGATACACCATAAAAGATCATACCTTGGGAGCTAATAAGTAATAGCGCAATTCATATGTTGGTTGAGTGAAACTTAAGTAAGTAGGATGAAAATTCCGGAACAAGCCATCAAGAAAAGCATCAATACGAAGCGATTGTGAGAAAATCCACGAGATTGTCACTTGTTCGATTCTCGGAATATGAAACTCCTCGTGAGGTTCCTTCCAATAAAATAAAATTGCATATAATATGTAAAACAACGACACATATCAAATACAAAAGAATTTCTCTAGTCAATTTTATAAACTCCTTTAATGGTATTAAGATAAGTTGACGTACCTCAGCACATATTCCAACGAAAGAAAGCACCATGTTTTATTGAAGTGAAAATGGGTATAAGATAAGTTCGTATAACTCAGGACGTAGTCGAAAATTGAATTCGAAGAGTCAGGCGAAACCAACAATGTGTTAGCTGCTGCGTGAGAAATTTGATTTTCTCAAGGCGTGCAGGTCGTTTCCACTCGCGTCAAAGCTGGAATACTGCACATCAAGGGATTGGCTCGCGGTTTCCTTGCAGTAGCTACCGGCCTTGACCAAGATTCCAAGAAAAGGATCAATCCTTCCCGAGTAACCGAAATGACATAATCTCGAAGCATCCAATTCAATCACTCGCAACTCGTTCCAAGAAGACAGATCAAGCGACCAAAGCTTATCGTTATTGACAATCTTCAGTGTCTGCAATTTTGCGAAACCTCGGAGCCAGAGCGACTCTAAAGACGGAGCTTTCGAGATCAACTCATCGAGTTTACACTCCGTCAATAAGTTGCATTCGACGGCAGAGCCTGTTACAAATAGAAAAACCCCAGCAAAGTGTAGATTCTGTTACAAAATAAAGATGAAACTGAGGGGTTCAAGTGAGCTCAATTCCACAGCAGAGGCTCTGAATTTCTTACTGTGAACTACTAGATTCCGAACCTGAAGCCTCCGAATCCCCACAATCGACAACAGAGTCAGCCTCTGTAACAGAGAGGAACCAGCAATGATACTGTTCAGAATTCGGTCTCCTCCGCCGTGGCCAGGGAAGCTGACTCGGTTGAGATAGAGCTGCCGGAGGAAGCTGCCAAGGCCCACGAAGTGATTAAGATTGGTATCGAAATTGCAGTCGACCAAATTGACAAGTTTGAGGCGTAATTGGTGGCCGGGATTGGATCTGGGTAGCAATAAGCCCCGCGGGATGGTGTATGTCCCCGACCCATCAAAACGGAGGGGTCTGCTAGCATGAAAGCTGGCTTGAATATCAATCTCTTGGGGCAGGGGGGAGAATATCAATCCTTGCAGCTATTGTACGGCCAACTCCTTTCGACGATTGAACCTGATTCTGACGGCTTGGATGGCGGTCAGGGCATCGTCGCTGGTAGAATCAAACTTTCTGGCGGCGGCGGAGGCGAATCTCTTCGCCGATAGCATCGATCTGAACTGGGTATCGTGGAATTCCAAAATTGGGTACGATCGCCAGAGTTTGTTCCACAAGGCGCTGGCTTTTGCAGCTTCGTTTGAGGAGGGTTTTAGGATGTAGTGGATGACCTCGTCGGGTAACTCCGATATCCGGTCTGTTGTTTGTTCGCCGACGCCGGCTGATGGATTCGGGATTTGGTTGGATTCTCCTTCGCCGTTGGCCTCCAGGCGGCGGCGTTTCTCCATAGCTCATAGTCATAGACGGTGGAGAAAAAGAGAAGAAGAAGCAGATAGGTAGGGTTTTGAATTCAACTCTACTGGGTTTTGGGCTTTGTTGTTGGTTCTTGGTACAGCCCAAATCTTTGTTTTTTATTTCTCCCTATTTCTGTCCGTGATCATCCTATTACCTCAATCCAGATACCTAAACTCCATACTTACAACAACAACCCACACCAGGACTTTGATTCATATACTACTGCTTAACAGTCTGATCGACCCCTAGGTTTTCATGCATCACCATTTTGAACAACAATGGAGCAAAAATAAGGAAAAGCAAAATTAGAGAAACACACTAGGACAACAACCATACCTATATCCACCACAAAACAGAGCCAACAAGAAGAGTTATAGATGATTGCATAAACACCAACCAAACGAAATAATAAGCAAATTGTCTAGTAAACAAGAGAAGAAGCAAATAAATAAATAACGTCAAAAAACAAAGCTAGCTAGCTGCAACATCAATGGGCGCCCTCTCATGTCTTATCCATTAATGGGCACTCCACTCCCGCCGCCAACAACAACAGCCTCGCCGCCGGTCACTTCCAGCTCAGCCTCCTCCTCCTCCTCCTGCTGAGGCTGCTCATCAACAACAACAGGAGGCGAAGGTGGAGGCGAAGGAGGGTCAGGGATAGTCTGAAGCGTGATTGTACATTGATGTGGAACCAGATTTGGGTCATACAAACTGTAGTAGTCCATGATGATAAACAGTACGTACCACGTAGTACCTATTTTCTATCTCAGGGTTAGGGTTTTTCTTCGAAAGATAGGATAGAGAAAGGAAGAAAGAAGAACAACGTTTACCTTTGGCTCCCTTTTGATCTGGAAATTTGCCTTTTTCCCTCCCTGGAAACAAAGAAAGCAGGAATAATTCTTCTCTTGGGATTGGATTTATGAATGTTAAGTACATAGAGAAACCCCCAATATATAAATACTACTAACAAAGTAACAATAGCTTTCCTTCCTTCACACGGACTGAAAAAATTGTTTTATTTTTACAATGAGAAAAAGGTTAGCACGTGGTGATGCTCGATCGATTTCACGCACCGGTGATCTCGAGCGATTTAGCGAAAGAACTAGAAAACACGATAAAAGACCTACTTTTCTTTACTAACTACTAATACTTTATTGATCGACTTCCTAAAAGGAAGAGCAAAGGTACATATTTATAGGACTAATCCTACAAACCCCTTTCCTCTTAAGACAAGGAAACCCAAACCTAAAGCAACAAGTAAACGAATACTTCCTAAACAAGATACGTAATAATAATCCTAGACTCAAACTAATACGAATAACCCAAATAATAACAGAATATCCCAACAAATAATAGTAATAAAACAACAACAACAACAACAACAATAATAATAATAATAATGGGCTCGGCCCAAGACGCCGTCACCCATCACGTGGCTGGAGATTTTTTTAACATCCCGAACCTTTTTCCGACGAAGACCGATTTAGTATTGGGTCTAGACCCTTATGGATCTCTACTTGGGGGTGCACATATCAAGATGATTTTTCATAAGGTCATTCATTCTTGGGGTACTCCACAATGGTCACGTTGAACTTTCGGAGTTCTCACAAGATATCGTAGGACCAAAGACCGGACCAATAAGTTGTATTCCACAAAATATTCATATTATTAGGTTTATCCTGACATAAAAACTAATAACATTCATAAAATTATCCATATTATTTATGTCAGATACAAAATGATATCGTTTTACTTTCTGGGTGCGAATTAGGTGGAAAACCGATAAAATGCGCAATCGATCCAAAATCATTCAATACTGGGTTTTACACGCTTTAACTTGATTGTGTCAGGTTGGATACCCATGAGTTCAGGCTCAATTGCCATTACTAATTATGAGACATGTTGGTTAATAGCCTCCTATTTTAATCACGAGGTTAAAGTTCCATCTCTATCTATAGGTATACAACTTATTTTATAGCGAATTCACCATTTTGTATGATAGTAGCCTCATCAAACCATCCCAAACATTTCAAGATTTTATGCGACGGATCGGTTTGGACCAAATATTAGAGAGAACACAATTTCCCCCTTCTAACTAATAATGCTATTAGTGAAATAAGACATACATGACATTAACATTAAGTAACAAAATTATGAAATTGCAAAAACTTTTGGGGTTTCGATATTTCTATGATTAGGATTACCGACCATTCAAAAAAATAATTAGAATAGTTCAAATTTATCTTTTCGAACCCTAATTTTCTTCGTTCTTCCTAAATAGTAATCAATAATTCTTTCTATTCTTCCCCAAATCTTCATCTAGTTCTCTCCCTATTTCTGTCCATGATCATCCGATTACCTCAGATCCATATACTAAACTCCATGCTCACAACAACCCACACCAGGACTTTGATTCATATACTACTGCTTAACAGGCTGATCGAACCCTAGGGTTTCAAGTAAGCATCACCATTTTGACAACACGTGAGCAAAACTAAGGAAAAGCAAAATTAGAGAAACACACGGCACATCAACAAAACGAAACAATAAGCACATTGTCTAGCTAGTAATGTAAGGTAGTGGTTAAGTACCATACATGGCCCTGTAAAAGATCCAGCATAACCTTCTCCCAACAACTCGAGTTATTGGGACCAACTGGTTTATGACATGTTATCAGAGCTGGTTTGTCCTTGAGGTTACGTGTTCAAGTCCTCACGACCCCCAATATTAACCGTTGTCTTTCAAGCACATGGTATGGCGGACCTGTGCAAACTTCAAGCCCCATGAGTCGGCTTTCGTTTGAGGGGGCGTGTAAGGAAGTGGTTAAGTACCATACATGAGCCTGTATAAGATCCAGCATAACCTTCTCCCAACAACTCAAGTTATTGGGACCAACTGGTTTATGACAAGTAAACAAGAGAAGAAGAAAAAAAAAAGTCCAAAAACAAAGCTAGCTAGCTGCAAACACATCAATGGCGCCCTCTAAAGTCTTATCCATCAATGGCCACTCCCTCCACCGGAATCACCGTCGCCACCGTGGTTTGAAGAACCTTCAGCTCCAGTACTCCCGCTGCCAACAACAACCTCGCTCACGGCGACTTCCGGATCAGCCTGCTCCTCAACAACAACAACAACAGGTGGCAGGAATATTGGTTCTCTTTTCTCTCGGGGACTGGATTTCTGAATACATTTCCAATGAGAATAAGGTTGGCACTTGGGCTTTACCGGCTGGATTTTTCATGTGTTTCTACACGGGCTAAATTAATCGAGTTTTGCTATTTAGATTATAAATTAAGGGGAATTGGGGCAATGGTATTGTAGTCTAACCTCTGATAGGTGAACCCCAGTCTCTAATTTTCTAACACAAACCATGACATTTGTTTAATCTTAAAATAATTATCGACGGTTTTGATTCGTCGAAATATATCAGAGTACAAATAATAAGTGTGAATGCACTGTACACTTGTGTTGATACCTATTATTTGTATTTGATAATTTTTGATGAATCAGAACCACTTATTTTCATTTTAAAATTAGACGTATATATATATTAAAATTTTCTAAAGCATCTTTAAACCATAAATATTCAAATATAATATAAAAAATAAATTCAAGAAATTAATTACCATTTAAAAAAAAGGTCTCACAAGATTTTTTTTTCAATTAACAATGGTCACAAACGAATGTGGATCACCGTCTGGCCCGAGTTCAACATTCAGTTCAGCTGATGAACAACCAATCTCATCTTCTTTTTTGACGTTCAGAGGAATGGCAAGACAAGGTTTTGAATTCAACTCTATTGGGTCTTGGGCTTTGTTGTTGGTTCTTGGTACAACCTAAAGTTTTTATTGGTCACACCGGCTCAAGATACAGTGCATAATCATGAGTTATACACTCATTAGTAACTAAATTTGGACCCTTCATTCAGTAAATTCAGATTTAACGGTGGAGAAGTAAAATCATTTTTATTTTCTCTTGTTTTCTTAATCAGTTCATATATTTTTCGATTTAACTTGGATTTTTTTTTTTTTTGCACAGATGGAACGAGTTCGTTGTGCTCTAAAAAATGAGATCCATTCTCAATAATTCTTGAGAAAAAAAATTCTTGCCCTCATTACCAACTGCATACCATATGATATCTTTTTCGTTTTTAATTCGTTTTTGAAATTTTTTTCACAGATGGAACGAGTTTATCATGATCTATTCGATCTACAAAATTCTGGGTGAGCTAAATACAGGACAAAAAAATACCACACAATACCACCCTGGTATGGGGTGGTATTTTGTGGTACAAAATGTTAAAAGTAGTAAATGACAGTTAATATACTTCTACTATCATGTATTCAACCATCATGCAGGCTACAGTATTGGTTTGTTCATACCACCATGGTAAGCTTTTCATACCATAAGTATGCTCTTATTTCAATATCAGTCAATACCATATGGTATAGACTGGTAAAAAAATTGCTCAATTTCTTTTGTTCCAAAAATATATCAAATTCGATTTCATTTTGAAAAACACAATTAATCTGATCTAACTGTGCAAAATAATAATAATTAAGTTTCGACTTAAAACGAGTGAGAAATCGTTCGTTAAAGATTAAGGGGAAAAAAAATTAAAGGCTTTCAGGAGAGAGAAGGGGTGTTGATGTGGCGGATGGTGAGTGGGTTATGCATGATTACTCAACACAAGGTTATTGACTGGATCAGCTCCTAGTCAGACCCAATACTCCCAATCAAAGTTCGGAAAGGGAATAATTGATCCGAACATAATTATACATTATTTCTTCGCACACCCATATCGGTAACATTATCAAAAAAATTTCTACAAATGTTTCTCTATAAAGACTAATAACATCCACAAAATATTCATATTATTAGATTTATCCTGACATAAAAACTAATAACAATCATAAAATTATCCATATTATTCATGTTAGATACAAAATCACATCGTTTTACTTTATGAGTGTGAATTTGGTGAAAAGCTGATAAAATTTGCAACCGATCCAAAAACAGTCAATACCGAATTTTACACGTTTTAACTTGATTGTGTCAGATTGGATACCCACAAATTCAGGTTCAATTGTCATTACCAATTATGAGACATGTTGGTTAATGGCCTCCTATTTTAATCATGAGGTTAAAGTTCGATCTCTATCTATAGGAATACAACTTATTCTATAGCGAATCATTCCCCATTTTGTATGATAGTAGCCTCAAACCATCCCAAACATTTCAAGGTTTTATGGAGACGGATTGGGTTGGACCAAATATTAGAGAATAAAAATTCCCCCTTCTTATAATGCTAATAGTGAAATAAAGACACACATGGCAATAAAATTAAGTAACAAAAGTATGAAATTGAAAAAAAAAAAGCGTTTCGATTTTTCTATGTTTATGATTATCAATAAATAAAAAATAATAAGAATAGTACAAATTCTCTTCTCAAACCCTAATTTTCTTCTTTCTTTCTAAATCGTTACCGGTTAGTCCTTCCTATCTTTTACCCAAGCTTCATCTAATTAATTCCCTCCCTATTTATGTCCGTAATCATCCTATTACCTCAATCCAGATATCTAAACTCCATACTTATAACAACAACCCACACACCAGGAGTTTGATTCATATACTACTGCTTAACAGGCTGATCGATCCTAGGGTTTCATGCATCACCACTTTGAACAACACGTGAGCAAAAATAAGAAAAAGCAAAATTAGAGAATCACACTAGGACAACAACAATACCCATATCCACCCCAAAACACAAGTTATAGTCTTATAGATGATTACATAAACCAACAAAACAAAATAATAAGCAAATTGTCTGGTAAACAAGAGAAGAAGAAAAAAAAAAAACGTCAAAAAACAAAGCTAGCTAGCTGCAACATCAATTGCACATCAATGGGCGCCCTCTCAAGTATTATCCATTAACGGGCGCTCCCTCCACCGGAACCACCATCGCCACCGTGGTTTGAAGAACCTGCAGCTCCACTCCCGCCGCCGGCAACTTCCAGCTCAGCCTCCTCCTCCTCCTGCTGGTGAGGCGCGCTGCTCATCAACAACAACAACAACAGGTGGTGCCAAAACCAGCGGAGGCGGAGGCGGAGGCGATGCCAGACTTACCGTACACTCGTCGAATTTTACTATTTAGATTATGAATTAATCAGAATTGGGGCGAAGATATTATACCTAACCTCTGACAGGTGAATCCCAGTTCTCAATTTTCTAACACAAACCATGATATTTGTTTAATTTTAAAATAATAATCGACGATTCTGATTCGTCGAAATATATCAAAGTACAACTAATTGATGTGAACGCAGGCGTATAGCGTACGCTTATACCTGCGTTCATACCTATTATTTGTACTTTAATAATTTTTGATAAATCGTAACCGCTGAATGTAAAATTGGTCTGGCAAGAAATTGATGCATTAAAATTTGACTCAATATTAGGGTGAGAGGATTCCCATCTCAAAGTTTGTTTCCCAACCTTTGAGTAACTTCATTTACTTGGCTTAATTTCTTGTGTTTAGTTAGAGTTAGAAGTAATTGAGAAATTTAAATCGATTGGCTAGAAAGTAGCAAAGCTTAAAGTACAAGTACATTTAGATGACTCGATATGTATGGTCTTGGAGTCACTATACTACGTGCTTAATTAGGGTATACGCGTCCTAGCTAAACATAGTCATTAGTCCAATTAGGGGTGGCAGTACGGTCCGGTCCGGTTAAATTGGCCCGAATTGATCCGGTCCGGTCCGGTCTTTTTGGAAATATGGGGACCAAAACTTGGATTGGGTACAGTCCGGTTTTGACCCGGTCCGTTTTTGACCCAGTCCGGTCCCATACAAAATCACAACCATCATTGATGTCTATTACAAACTCAAAGTCCAATTCAAACTTCAAAATAAAAATAAAGTGCATCACAAGTTCACAAACAAAGTTTAGACATCAAACACCAAACTCACTTCAATCGATAATAAACTCATCCAACCCTGGTATATCACATTCCATCATTCAAATGCAGCAATTCTTTTAGACTATAAGCAAAACTGTAATAGCTAGCATGTGTTTCTGCCACTGCCAAATCTTTGGCATATCTCTTTACTTTGTCCTGGCTGGATTGTTTTTGTCATTTTGGCAAAGGCTGGAAATTTTCATTGATAAGCAAAAGATGCACCCAAAATTTAAGAATTTGTGCCAATGGTCAGTACTGTCGAATAATACAAGAACTAAAAGAAAGAAATAAAATCAATTCATGAGAACAATGGCGGGTTAGGCAGAATAATTAAGGAACGAAGTGACGACAAACAACAAGGACACATGATGAGCTTCATTCATTTGCACAGTTTGCTTACCCAGCTGCTGCTGCCTTCCATTTTTATGAGTTCGCAGATGTTCCCAAAAGTCGACGAACGGTGATGAGGCTGTGGGAGGGCGACGAGGCTATGACAGAGCCGGCGACGAGGCTATGACAGAGCTGAGTCGGAGTCGCGTCGGGGCTGGGTGGTCGGGGTCGTCGCTGCTGTGCTGTCGGCGCGGAGGCGGGTCGTCGCTGGTGAAAGTTTGTGCTTTTGTGCTGCTCGGGGTCGTCGCTGCTCACTGTCGGCGCGGAGGCGGGTCGGAGTCGTCGCTAGGTCGGCGCGGGCCGCAGAGGCGGACTGTGGACTGGAGCGGCGAAATGGCGATTGGAGGAGGTCGCGACGGGACAGAGTTGGGGGCGGAGGCTTCCTGTTCCTGGGTCACGACGGGACGGAGGCTTGCAGGCTGCAGCTGGGTCGCGAGTCGCGACGTCACGTCGCAGAGAATGAGTCGCGACCAGCAACGAGAGAAGAGAAGGTCGCCGTTGCCGTCGTGATGGTCCGAGTCTCCGAGACTCCGTCGATGGCGCGCTGGTCCGAGAGTCTCCGATGGCGATGGCGATGGGCGATGCTTTCAGTCTCGAGGGAGAGGGAGGCGGCAGGCGGAATGAATACTGAAGAGAGGCTGGGTCAGCTCTCAACCCTACAGACGACAGAGAACAGAGGCCATGGGTTAGTGGGCCTGGGTAAGTGGGCCGAGAGGCCATGGGTATTGGCCTATCCGGTCTTCCGGTTTTTACCCGGTTTTGACCCGGACTGGATTGGTCCGGTTTTTTTGCTAATTCTAGGACCAAAGACGGGATTGGATTGTTTTAAATCCGGTCCCGGTCTTAAAACGGTCCGGTTTTTACGGTCCGGTTTCCGGTTTTCAATCCGGTCCCGGTCCAAACTGCCAGCCCTAAGTCCAATCATGCATACTTAGTTATTTAATCTTAAGCTTTGGGCTTGGTCCAACTCAAAGCTTTGAGTTATATAGCTCATTGCAGGCAAATATAACGAAATATAAAAAAACCACGTAATCTCGAGTGGGCTTGGACTTGTAGTTATATTACATGTCGTTATTTGGATGAGCTCAAATGTCAATTATATATTGCTCCTAATTGTAAGTTTGTAGCAAAGGGCTCACCAAAGTTTCATATGAAAATCACACCATCAAGCCCGTTAAGAAGATCAACAACTACCAATAAAATCAGACAGATGGCTCCTTCTCCCCACAAACAGGTTATGCAGCAGCTGGGGGGCTCTTGAGAGACCACCTTGGCAGGTGCACAAAGGCCTTCGTCTGCAACTTGAGCGCGTGTTCTATCACAAGGGAAGAGCTGAAAGGTGCAGCCGAAGGACTCCGCATTGCTTGGGAACGTGGGTACAGAAAAGTGGAGTTGAAATTAGACTCCACAACTGCCGTTGACCTCATCAAACATTCCAAAGAGACAGATCACCGCCATGGTTTGCTTGTGCAACAAATTGGTTTACTTCTCAGCCACGATTGGGAAGTTGTTATTCCTCAGAGTGCAATTTTGCAGCCGACTTCCTGGCTTGTAAGTTGTAAGGGTCATGATACCCATTTTTGCACACATTTGTTCAATGTGTGTGACCCGAATCTTTGTCAGATGTTCATTTATGATGCCATGGGTATTTCGCAGTACCGTTCTATAAATATAAGTTAGGATGCTCTTGCATCCATCTTTCTACCAAAAAAAAGATAAAGCTCGTAACGGCTCATATATTATATATTTTTCTTGTAAAATGTGAACAAAAATATATGAACAACTAATTTAGATTAAGATCATGCATTATATTGGATGAAAACCTGAAAGAAAGGGATTTTTAGCATATGATAATTGCTTACAGAATACGATAATTCACAAAGGCACACCCAATTTATCACCCCACATCATTGATATATAATTTTGTTAGGTGGCTATTTCTAATTATTGTAAGATAATTATATTAGGTCCATGTAATGTTAAGGTTAATTAACCATGTGTTAATTGTTATGTTTTATTCCTTATATGTATTATAGACCGATGCATTAAGGGGGGAAAAATCCCGGCTTAATGATAATGTTTATGTTATATTGATCAACACAGTTAACCAAATCGATTAAATTTTAATTTGATTAATTTCGTAACATCCCAAAAGTTTATCCTTATTGCATTGGCAATCTTCACAAGAGATGAGTCTTCCATTTAAACGATAACATAATCCCACGAAACACTTAAAGAACTTCATCAGTAGAAGCCAAATTCGTGTTATTCCAAAAGCTAAACATCAAAAAGATAACAACATATTGGTTAGCTAGAGTCGCCAGCTAGAGACCGGTACTCCAAATCAAGCCATCCCGCCATCATCCGTCGGTCTACATTCGCACTTCCACACCACTGGCTCGTACTGCGTATAGCCTTCTTCATTATTCCCACTGCCGGCGGCCACGTTCGACGACGACGGTGGACCGGGGACGACGACCACCGGGACACAAGGAGTACAGCCGTGGCACTGATGCTCACAGTACAAAATGTTTGAACCCACTTTCGCCTCGTACCCCGATCCTGCATCCACATGCGCGCATTCCCAACAAACGTTCGTATAATAACATCCATCACACTTTAGGTCCGAATCATAAAAAATTTATGATTTTAGAGGGATCTCTCTAAAGTCTAAACGCGAATCGTGCATATGTAACATGCAGTTATCTATACACCACACTCGGAGTTCGAACAGTTAATTATACCTGAAGCAGTAGCGGCGGCAAAAGAGGAGGAGGGAGACATAAGCACGAGCAAAGAAATCGCAAACACCAACACAGCCATGATAACTCTCATACTTCTTCTGGTAGTAACTATAAGACTTTTTACTTGTGTGTTAGTGTGCAACAAGTTGTGAACAGTTTTGGAGTATAAATAGAGAGGCCTAATACTGAGAATCGCGCTTAGACTTTAAAGAGATCCCTCTAAAATCTCATTAATTAAGACTTCCTAATTGGAAATTAGACACTTACAATCATTACTTTCTAGTTTTGATAAGCTTTACCCATTATCTGGAACTTTGGGGGTGATTAGGGGAAAGCTTTGTGTAAGTTGGTGGCGTGTTAATTAGGGCTCTTAGCTAGAAATTGGCAGATTTTTTCTGTCTAGGGTTAACTCTTAGTATAGAGGTTCGTTAACTAGGGATTTAGATTTTGCCCAATTGAGGGATTTCTTGTGTAAAGAGGCTGGCGTCTTAATGTACCTAAAAATTGGCAGAAGTCAGAAGTTTATGTTTGATATCAATGCTTATCGGTTAATTAATGTGCTTAGGGCTGGGAAAATAGATCAGACCGTTAGAAAAACCGTGGTCCAAATCGTACCGCACAGTTTGGTCTGGACCGTAGACCGTTAAGTATGGTCTGGTCTGGTCCATGGTCTGGTTTATTTTATGTTTTGATCTCTTGGTCTGGTCTGGTCTAGACCGCGGTTTACCGGACCAAACCGTGGACCCAACCGACTTGTCAATACGTGTTAATAGCCCATTCGATCACCCTCCCAACTCACACAACGACATCCAAATCTCAACCTTAATTATGAGAATCTCGTCCCTCCTTCGTTCACAACCACATTTAACCACAGAGTAGAGATAATCGTGTCTCCATATGACATTATGTTAATGTTTATAACGTTATGGTGCAAGTTTGTATGCTTTTACTTTGTATTTTTTTTATTTCTAAGATTTAGGATATCAAAATTATTCATGCATGTTAGGATTAATGTTTTAAGGCAAATAACAATTATTTTTCTTGATTATTGGTTCAATTTTTTATGTGGTTGACTAAACAAATTATTCATTTTTCTTTGAGTGTGGTCTATCTGGACCAAACCAGACCAAACCAGACCGCACAGGCGTGATCTGGACCAGACCGTATAGTCTGTGGTCTGGTCTTTAGTCTATACTTCAGCCTCTCGGTCTGGACCATAGACCGTATATATGGTCTGGTCTGGACCAGACTGCACCGTTTCCCAGCCCTAAATGTGCTCCGTAACAAATTTGCGTAATTAAGCTCCATCGATGCACTAAATGATTGTTGGCCTCGAATTTGGAATGTACGTATATCACTAGTAGGTTAATCGTTTGGGCATTGTTCGATTATATTTTTATTATTGGATAACTGGCCCAAGATTTGCAACGCGCAAAAATTATTATATAATAAGTTTCAAAATCTTTGGTATTATGGTATATATGTTAGTCCCATTAGTATTAGCAAATGAAGGTATATAGCAAGTAAGATAGGTCGATCGAATGCTCGCGGTATCAACGCGATGACTTGAAACTTTTTTTCCGATGGAAAACTTTATTCGGTGATGAATAAATGAACGCACAAGATGCAATCGAACCCGATTTGTTTTACCTATAATCGAAACAAAATTTGTTGGGAAATAATCAATAAGACGGTAAATAAGATAAACTAAAGTTTAATCAAACTTAAGGAAAAAAACGCCCTAATGACCTCTCTTAATTAAGCAATAACTTTCGGCTGACATTTGCACACCCAGATGATCGGTTTGTACGGCGTTGCTTCACGAGGGTTATACCCGGTGGCGGCAGCGACGGCCGGCGGGGGCGGAGGAGGGCCGCCGCTGTGAGGAGGGCCGCCGTGAACGGAAGGAACCGCAACGCACGGCGTGCAACCGTTGCACTTGCCGTCACAATTGGGAGGCGATGAACCACCGCCGCTCTCCAACAGCCGGCCACCTACAATATTTCCACACACGGCCCAAAGATTATAAACATCACCTCTTTTTTTTTTTTTTTTTTCTGACGAGGTTTAATACGAAACGCGATTGATAATATTCACATAACGTAGTTTTACCTGAACCGACGCAGAACGAAGGAGCCATGGCGAGGAAAGTGGTGGCCAATACAAGCACGGCCATAGCTCTGATCAGCTGAGAGTTTCTTGAGGCCATAATTTTTTTTTATCCTTAAGTGGGTTTAGGGTTTTAGTGTCAGCCTTTTTTTGTGGAAGAAATGTTAGAGGAAAAAAGATGTGTGGAGACAAGAATTTATAGGCAGAGAAATCAATTAAAGAGATCGAATGATTATTTAAGATACAGAGACTCTTAGACGTTGGAGATCATCAAAAGTAAAAATAAGGATAGAATGATCATTAAGATACAGAGAATCGTGGCATTTTCTACGTTTAAACAAGCTTTAAATTCTGAGATTAGCTGTTTACGAATCAGTTAATTATGGTACAGATTCTCTTTTGACTCTCGTCGTCATTCATATGGTATTTTATGTCGGCATTCGTTAGAATTGTAGTGAAGTCATATATGATCGTATTATATATTGTGTAGATGAGAAGAGAATTCAAACTATGAGTCGACAAATTCAATTTGTTAAATTCGATTGTGGTAAATATCATTTTTAGGGTAGAGATATACTCCATTTTTTTTATTTGGGTTCAAATTAGACTCATTATATTGGGTACTCAAAAAGAAAATAAGTACTCGGCCTAAGTTCAGGTCCTTAAACCCTCTTTTTTAAGGGGGATGAGTTAGGGTGATTACTAGTTTTTTAGTAACCACTGTGGCAACCTACATCTACACCCTTCATTATCTCCATTTTTTTTCTTTTTTAAAATAACGGTTAAGATTAGATTAAGGATAGTTTTGAAATAAAAAATTAACACACATGATTACTACCTATATTTATGACTTACCATCTCCTTCCTTTTCCCTAACTCTACGACCACTTTCTTCTCCCATTTTCTTTCCGCCGCCGCACAAGCTTTGTTTCCTCCCTCTCCATCCCTGTGACCTGCGGTTCCCTCCTCACAAATCCTAAAGCAAGCTTCCATTGAATTATAGGGTATACCTAGCAAGCTTCCACAGTTCCAGAGTTCCACTCCATCTCTTTCTTCTCCCCCATTTCTTTTCTTTTTTTCCTTTTTTTCCAGAAATGTCAACACAACAGCACCATTGATTGGATCATTCGTAGTCACTTCCACTCTCTTGATCTATTATGGCACGAACACATCTCCTGTCTCGCATTGGTATTTATTTTTCCGCATTGGTATTGATTTTATCGCTTTGCTTCTGCAGGTAATCTGGAATGGTAGTGTTTGCATTGGTAGAGGATTTGCTTTGGTAGCTACCTTGCATTTTATTATGGTACTGTTTGCATTATGCTTTGGTGGTTACCTGCATTTTCTTTGGTAGTGTGTGCATTACGCTTTGGTAGTTATCTGCATTTGGTTTGGTAGTGTTTGCATTATGCTTTGGTAGTTTGTCTGTATTTGTTTAGGTAGTGTTTGTATTGATTTATTTATGCAATGGTATTGTTTTGATTCCACAGTAGTAGTGGTATTTGTTGTTTTGGTATTTGTTTGACTTTTGTAATGGTATAGATTATTTATATTGGTAGTTTTCGTGTAATGGTATAGATTTATTTCTGCAATGGTATTGATGTTTTTCAAGATGGTAGTAGTTTTCTAATGGATTGGTAGTGGTTTTATGTTTTTTCTTTTGCAGAAAGATTGAGAAAAATATGGAAAGGAGATCTGGCCGGAGATTATGGAAGTGAGAGAAAGAGAAAGAATTGTAATTAATATATTTTTGTAACTACCTAAAATGTAATTTATTAAAATTAATTGATTAATATAATTTATTTTTCCATACCTAATTTACCCTTAGTAACCACAGTGATTACTATAAAAAAATAATCACCGTAACCGCTCTCTTTTTAAGGAGGGTCTTAAAGCATTGTGATTGGCTGATTTAGAATTAGGTAATTAGTGGGAGTTATTAGTTAAATAGTTGTTAGGGTTATTAAGAGAATTACAATTAAATTAAAAACCGTAACCCTACTAATGTATATACTCACGTATCCTCTTATTTTTCCTAATAATGAATTCGTCATTTGTTGTAAATTATGTATGAAATGTTAATAATGATATTGTATATTGTTAATAATACCGAGCAGAAAAGTTGATAATAGCGTCACTAAAAATGTTAACAACACAACAAGTAAATCAAGCTTCAATTTGAATGAGAATGTTAATAATAGCGTCACTAGAAAATGTAATGTAGGTGAAAATATTAATATGTACCGTTAAAACGTTGACAGCTAGGTTAAGCTGCTTTAAAAACCTCAAATCAGAAGCTCATATTGTGACAGCATTTTAGCAACTGGTTAATAATTTCGATGATCTAATTAATAATAATGATGTTGTAGGTTAATAATGTTTACAACACGGTCGGTAAATTGCGTTTCGATTTGATTGAGAAGGTTAATGATAACATCACGGAAAAATGTTAATAACGTATGTGAAAAAACTAATATGTATTGTTGACAACGTTGACAACTCGGTCACGTTGCTCTAAAAATCTCAAATCAGAGGCTCCCCTTATTGTCACAACATTTTAGTTACTGTGTTACACCCCGCTTTTCCCAAAAGTCAAAATGACTATTATACCCTTGGGAAAATTTGTCAAATTCCATCGTAATATCCATGAGGACTAAAGATGCGAACTCTCGATTCAAACGGTGTCGAGTTTGGACATAAATCGTGTAAGTTACGTACGCTAGTTGAGTTTCATATTAAACTCACCCGTAATTTATGAAATACCCAAAATACCCCTCGAGTTAATTAAAACCCAACCCCAACCCTAATCTCTCGTTCCACTCGGCCTCACCCCAAACTAATTAAAACCCTCGTCTCTCAATATTCATCGTGAGTATCACCACAATCTCTCAACAAGAGGACCGCCGTCCGTCAGTGCGATAATCGGAAGGGCAGTGGGGAACCGTCGCAGGATGTCGACTCTACCGTCGGAGTTTCCACACGTCTCTCGGAACAAGAGCCCTATAGTCTCTATTCGACTTGGTGGAATTTCTACGGCAGGCCTCGGTGGAGGACGAGAAACGGTTTCAACAGTGCTGCTAGGGCTCGTCCCGACGGACAGGAACTCTTCGCTTGGACGGAATGGTGATATTAGCTTTCTGGAAGAAACCCGAATCTGACGTTGGTGATTGTTATATTGGGATGCGGCAGCGTAAAACTATGCCGACTTCAGCGGAGATGAAGGGCTTGGGTCGTGTATCACAAATATGGGTTTATTATTAGAGAGTTTTGGGATTTTAGGTCCTACCATGCAAGCAAGCTAGCTAGTTCGCGTGTGAGTATTGATCATGGCAACATGGTTTTAATGATCATGGCTTTATTTTGGAGCTAGGATCGATGCATGGGGGATGAGTGGCGTAAATGTGCTTGCGTCAGAAAAAGGGTAAGGATGCGATCGAGCAAGCATGGGATTGGGAACGACGAGTGAAAGATGATCGACCCTCGCATGGGTTAACACATGCAAATTGACTTGAAATATAAGGTGAGTGTAAAGGGGGTAAATTCTACGCCTTATGTATTCTTTTAAGTATTATGATTTTGAGTATTTTAGCGAATTGGTTACCGTTGCTTGGTTATGTCTATGGTTGCTTATTTGTGCTTTGCTTGAGCTATGATTTGAGGTGATTTTGTGCTATTTGAGGTGATTTTGTGCTATTTACTTTAAAGCGTTATGTTTAAGCTATGGTTAAAGTTTAAGAAACAAGTTCTTTTTAAGAAGTAACTCACCTTCAAGAAGGTGATGTCGTTTTAAGTGTTTTTAGTCACTAGCGCCAGTCCGTTGCCTTTTGAGACATTTTGAGATAGAGCAGCAGTTATGCTCTTGAGACTTTTAAGATGAGCAGCAGTTATGCTCTTGAGAATCGTGGTGAAGAGCCACCACGATAAGTTTAAGATCTTAGGGGGATGAATCGTTACGACTCCCCTAACTAAGTTTAAGTTTAAGGAAAGCCTGGATGGCTTCTCATACGTATGAGTTGGCAACCGGACTAGCTAGTGGGGGATCCCAGTGTCAGTCAAGTATTTAAGTCGAGATTTGAGCTTTAAGAATGGAGAGTAACAGTAACTCCCATACAGTTTTAAGAGTTAGGAATTTTAAGAGTGGAACTACAAACAACTTCCACCAATTTAAGTAAGTGTTTTAAGTAAAGTACTAAGCAGTAAGAATTTTAAACGTAATGGCGTAGACTGACCCCATCTCACTCACCAGTTTGAAGAGCTAGAGGAAGAGCAAGAGGAGCATTTAGTGAGCAGCGAATTCGAGGGCAGGCAGCTAGAGGAGGGCAGTATAAGCGTCACAGAGGATGCTTAGTCAAGGCTTCGGTAGCAACAACATTAGAGATTATTAGTTATTTACATTTATGATTATGAGTATAGACTGGAGATCAGATTGAGATTTTACAGTTTGAGTTTAATTTGCCCACGTGTTAGGGCTTTGCTCTGAGCTACAAGTGTGTGTTTTCAGTATTTTATTTATGAAAATTTTTCCCGCTGCAATTTAAGATTTGAGTATTTTATTTTATCAAGGGAGTTTTAGTAAAAGTAGTACCCGGCCGGGTTAGGTTGTTACATTTTGGTATCAGAGCCGGTCTTCCTTTGTTCCTTGGTTTCCAAGGAATACTGGAATATCGGTCTTAGTTTTTAAGGCTTTTGTTTTAAAGGAAAGGAAAATGAGTCAAGGATCTTCTTTTAAGAGTCTAGAGAATCTCTAGTCTACTCTAATCGTATTAAGATAAATAACTTTACTCCTAATTAAAGGGTGCGTCAATCGCAAAGGGTTATCCTGAGGGATAAGTACGAGGAATCGAAGGAGTTGTAGATGCACTACCATGATTTTCTACTTAGCCACTAGCAAGTGATCTAATAGGTTAAAAATACAAATAGGAGAACTATGAATCTCCGAAGAAAGAGCTACCATCACTAAATGTCAAGAAACGAAGAGGTACCACGAGAAGTACCTCAACTAGTTTTAGTGGTCAACGCTATTACAACACAGTGGCAAGGAGCAGTGGAAAGCTTAGACTTCAAGAGAAGCTAGGGTAGTATAAATGAAGTAAAGGAGGAAGTAAGTAGGTTAGAGGGGGTCTGAAAGTACGTCAAGAAGTCAACAGGTCAATGGGGAGAGGAGGCATGGTCATATCCATATAACGATAAAGGAAACCTTATAGATAAACTCCGTCACAAGAGAAGAGGGTACACAACCCTGAGGAGTTAGTTCGATGACAAGCCTTTAGAAGGAGCAGGGCAAGCAATGAGATGAATGATGTAGAGGACAAGTTATGGTCTCAGTACGACCAACATTAGACGAGACAAGGAGGAAATTGCCACCGAAGTCTAAAGCGTGCCTGGTAGAAGACAGTGGGGAGTCAACACATAAGAAAAAAATGGATTGTGAGAGAGAATAACAGTTAGCTAGTAGATGGCAGTATGATGAGAGAATCACTTCTCAGAAGTGCGTGAGTTGGATACCAAGATAACACCGAGTTAGAAGGAGGATAGTAGAGACCCTACAAACTACACAGATCACAAAAGGTCAGGAGGATGTTGGGACCGTTGGAAGGGGTATGCAAGAGTTCACGATGATCTGTTATGGGATTGTCCTCTCTTAAATAGAGGGAACACCTAGCCTCCTAGGGTACATGAGGGGTGACAGAAGGAGGAACCTCTCTACTAAGTTGGAACTGGAGGGCTAAGAGCTGATGTCTCGGAACTAGCTATAGAGTAAGTCATTAAGCCAACCGAGTATAGACAAGTAAGTGGAATGTTCAATAACTGTTCTAGTGAATGGCAGAGAATTCGAGGAAACACATGGAAGTTCCGATGAAGGATTGAGAATATGTGTAGGTGACTCGTGTTCAAGAAAATTCATAGTGGAGTACGACGAGGAAAAGCATTACCAAGAAGGAGGAAATCATTAAGTTACCTTACCCAAGGTGCCCCACTCTGAGCGAGTACGATGCAGTAGGATGTCATCCATAAAAGAAGGTCAGTTAAGGATAAATTAGTGATATTTAGTTAAGCCACTAAGAGCCATGACTAAGAGATTAAGGCTATGTACAAGCATCGGTCGAGACAAAAGACGTGGATGAGGTATGTTCAAGCCTACCAAGGGCAAGCCACTATTGGAAGCTTTGACCCAAAACAACAACGATAAGATACTCAACAGAGTTTGGTGACCAAAAATAGTACAAAGCACCAACAGAAGGGTAGTAAAAGTAAATAAAGAAGGAGAACACCATAGGACGCTATAGGAAATAAAATAAAAAGGTGGTCGTCGACCAAACGATGTATGCGTCAAGGAATATAGCTAGGACGGGCCAAAGCAGGAGTACATCAGACAACAAGAAAGCATTAGGTTGATTACCAGTAAAGAACAGTTGATCCATAGGAAGTCCATCGAGAAATTTCGGCCAATTGTAAGGTGGAATCGTGGTCGTCAAGAATAGTCAAAGGGAGAACCTTATAGGTCAAGGTACATAAGTGAGAAGAGAATATGAGAACCTAGATGACTACAGCGAGAAACATCAGGAAGAAGAGTCGCGAGTAAAGAAGTAAGATGGGTAAGAGTTTAGGGAACCTGCTAGGATTCCCCAAAGTGAAACCAAGACCGCCTATGAGGGTGAAAGGTGGCGATCTCTTGGGTGAAAATTTCTTGGACGGGGAAACTGTACGAAGAATTTTAGCCAAGGTCTAAGAACGATAGAAGAGATAGTACGAGAAATCCCAAGTCAAACGGTGTTAAGGAAGTGGTGAGTTAGGCGCCAGGAGTGAACAAGTACGCAAAATGGAAGGTCATGATTCTGGAAAGGAGTCATAAAGTTGATCGCAAGCTAGATAAAGATGCAATGGATGCATCTAATGCGTATAGAAAGTATAAGCAGTAGTATGAGGTTCCAACACTAAGAAACAAGTAACGAGGCGGTGACCATTCAGTTTATGGTTAAGGGATAAGACGAGGCATTGAGGAAGAAAGTAAGAGCTGCAGAGTTAGGAGATACAAGGACCTAGGTGACCTATGAGGTCAACTCCGGACGAGAGTTACGTTAAAGGAATTTTACCATCTGATGGGATGGAGGATAAGCCGCCGTCAGTAAACTTGGTGTTGGAGAGGGGCATTAACTTCTCATGTACCGAACAATGGATAGTTATCGTTCCTATATATGTACAAGGTGCAGCCGAGGTAATGTGAGGGGTTAAGAAGCCACAACAACATTGAAGTTGCAGGGAATGGAGAGAAGGATTTTAGGTCATGTCGTATAAGTTAAAGGAAATAAAAATCCGTGAAGTGAAAAAGATTACCACAAGCGATGCTTAGGGTAATCACAGTGGACAAATTTCGAGGGCGAAATTTCTATAAGTGGGGAGGAAATGTGATACCTCGACTTCAATAGGTTCAACATCAAGTACTGGGCCCAAGTTGGAAAATTTTGAAAAGGGCAATGAGTCACTCAAACCTATTCGATGCTGCCAATCTAGATGACGATCTATGTTATGGTCAAGAGTACATATAAGAACTATCGTAACTTATTCAAGACAAGGTAAGGGCACGCCATTGAAGTTTCATATAGAAAGAGTGAAATCTTGAGTCAAAGAAGCACGAGAATGAGGAGTATGAAAGGATGAGCCCGATCAAATTTCGGGGACGAAATTTTTATAAGGGTGGAGGAAATGATACACCCCGCTTTTCCCAAAAGTCAAAATGACTATTATACCCTTGGGAAAATTTGTCAAATTCCATTGTAATATCCATGAGGACTAAAAATGCGAACTCTCGGTCCAAACGATGTCAAGTTTTGACATAAATCGAGTAAGTTACGTACGCTAGTTGAGTTTCATATTAAACTCACCCATAATTTATGAAATGCCCAAAATACCCCTCGAGTTAATTAAAACCCAACCCCAACCCTAATCTCCCGTTCCACTCGGCCTCACCCCAAACTAATTAAAACCCTCGTCTCACAATATTCATCGTGAGTATCACCACAACCTCTCAACAAGAGGACCGCCGTCCGTCAGTGCGATAATCGGAAGGGTAGTGGGGAACCGTAGCGGGATGTCGACTCTACCGTCAGAGTTTCCACACGTCTCTCGGAGCAAGAGCCCTATGTTCTCTATTCGACTCGGTGGAATTTCTATGGCAGGCCTCGGTGGAGGACGAGAAACGGTTTCAACAGTGTTGCTGGGGCTCGTCCCGGCGGGCAGGAACTCTTCGCGTGGACGGAATGGTGATATTAGCTTTCTGGAAGAAACGCGAATCTGACGTTGGTGATTGTTATATTGGGATGCGACGGCGTAAAACTATGCCGACTTCAGCGGAGATGAAGGGCTTGGGTCGTGTGTCACAAATATGGGTTTATTATTGGAGAGTTTTGGGATTTTAGGTCCTACCATGCCAGCAAGCTAGCTATTTCGCGTGTGAGTATTGATCATGGCAACATGGTTTTAATGATCATGGCTTTATTTTGGAGCTAGGATCGATGCATGGGGGATGAGTGGTGTAAATGTGCTTGCGTCAGAAAAAGGGTATGGATGTGATCGAGCAAGCATGGGATTGGGAACGATGAGTGAAAGATGATCGACCCTCGCATGGGTTAACACATGCAAATTGACTTGAAATATAAGGTGATTGTAAAGGGGATAAATTTTACGCCTTACGTATTCTTTTAAGTATTATGATTTTGAGTATTTTAGCGAATTGGTTACAGTTGCTTGGTTATGTCTATGGTTGCTTATTTGTGCTTTGCTTGAGCTATGATTTGAGGTGATTTTGTGCTATTTACCTTAAAGCGTTATGTTTGAGCTATGGTTAAAGTTTAAGAAACAAGTTCTTTTTAAGAAGTAACTCACCTTCAAGAAGGTGAAGTCGTTTTAAGTGTTTTTAGTCACTAGCGCCAGTCCGTTGCCTTTTGAGACATTTTGAGATAGAGAAACAGTTATGCTCTTGAGACTTTTAAGATGAGCAGCAGTTATACTCTTGAGAATCGTGGTGAAGAGCCACCACGATAAGTTTAAGATGTTAGGGGGATGAATCGTTACGACTCCCCTAACTAAGTTTAAGTTTAAGGAAAGCCTGGATGGCTTCTCATACGTATGAGTTGGCAACCGGACTAGCTAGTGGGGGATCCCAGTGTCAGTCAAGTATTTAAGTCGAGATTTGAGCTTTAAGAATGGAGAGTAACAGTAACTCCCAACAGTTTTAAGAGTTAGGAATTTTAAGAGTGGAACTACAAACAACTTCCACCAATTTAAGTAAGTGTTTTAAGTAAAGTACTAAGCAGTGAGAAAATTTTTAAGATTTGAGTATTTTATTTTATGAAGGGCATTTAGTAAAAGTAGTACCTAGCCGGGTTAGGGTGTTACATACTGGCTATTAATTTTAGTAATATAATTAATAATAGAGTCGCAAAGGTTAATACTGTGGACAATAGGACCACTAAATCACATTTTTTTATTGATAAATCTAGTAGCGTCAGTAAAAAATGTTATTAACGTATGCCAAATCATTAATATGCACGGTTGAAAATGTTGACAAATCCGTTACATTGCTTTGTAAACCTCAATCCACCAGCTGCTCAATTCACAGGTTCCTCCATTACGTTGACAACTCCGTCGCGTTTCTTTTCGATGGCAAGTGACAGACGTAGCGGGCTGACAACAAACTTGTTCTTAAAGATCTTGGATTGTGGTATAATGTGTAGCACTGCAAAAAAATTGATAATTACATTCAAAATATTACTAATGCTAAAAAAATGTTCTTACACATTACAAACATAAGAAGAAAATATAAAAAACATAAGACGAAAATATTGATAAAGACACTTGAAAAATTAGCAAACGTAAGCAAAACTCATTACAAATAACATAACATAAGTTAACAATAATCATAATAAATATTCAACGCGTCACAATTAGTAGGGTTAAGCCCATCTGACCCTTTTCGCCACTTTCCTTCTATTTAATAATAACTAGCGTGGGCCCCGACCACTTGGCCGGAGGAAAGTGAGGTATGAAATTTGATAATGTAATGGGTGTATAGCTTACTTTTGTATAGTTTTTTTTTTTGGGAAACACGTGATAAAAATAGTGAATTTTAGTATGAAAGAAACATAAATGATGTAACGAATCAAAAATCAGCCTTATGAACCAAAATCAAGTACCTGTTACCTTGTGAAACAATATTGTTTCTGGTCATATGATGAGGTGGAGTAAGTTTTATAGAAACCGAATTCCAGAAAATCAAATAAAAAATCGCCTATCCCGCCGGTTTTCGAGAAATGAGCATCTCACAATCGTTGCTAGCTTTTACTCGGCCCGTTGGCCGATTAATTTGCTTTATAAAACTTTCATCTTGTCATCATTGTGCTTTCTGGTTTTTTGCCAAGCCATGATAAAATCTAAAGAAATCAAGAATGAACAACACAGACTCACCTGAATTTCAAGTTTTGGGATAGGAACCACCGTTCCTGTATCCCTAGAAAATAGTGGTAAACACTGACTCACCTGCCAAACTGGTTTGGATTGAGATTTTTATCGGGTATTAGGGAACCATATGATTATAAATTAGACTTGATCAAAACGGGCCAAAACTTGAAATTCAGTCTGTTTGACCGACCCATGTCAAACTCTAATTATTCTTTACTTTTAAACTTTCTATTTGAAAATAAAATAATGAAAGAAAAGAGATTACTGCAATTCGCCATTTGCACATCACTGATTCGGGAATAAAACTATAGAATTTCGAAATGAAACTGAAAATATTTAGGATCGTTTTAATGTTAAAAATAACGAAATATATCTTTCTGTTTAGTTTTTTACTAACAAATACCAAATGATTCCCTATAATATATACTATAATTTAATCATTATGATATCAAATAATTACATAATATATAATTGAAATGATAAAAATTGGACTAATTGGGTTGGTCGAGGTTGAACCATTGAATAACTTTAAAATACATTATATTTTAGCCACTAAGATATAAAATAATAGCATAATATATATTATGCTAGTGAAAATAGCTTGTTATGGAATGGCAAACTCATGATGTTCATTTGTTTTACTTGATGGGCAAATCTCGTGTATGTCAGGCCCATTCAACTCTTTTATTTTATGATTAGCGGTTAGCCCATTAGAATCCATGCATTAGCTTATTGTTAAATTTATTTCTTTTTATCAATAAAAAGGAGTATTGTTTTTGCCTTTTCATATATATTTTACCAATACGGAGAAATAAAAGGAATTAAAGAAAAAATTGACACTCCTGGACCCGTTTAAATCTGCATGTGTATGGTAAATTGGCCCGTTCCACAGAGGAAAAAAGAAGAAAAAATTGACACTCCCTATTCTACCCTTCCTACAAATGCTCCTGGAGTAGGGAATTTGAAATGGGGGAAGGGTTTTTTCCTCTCTGTGATTATATGTTTATAATTTAAAAAAATACAACAAATGTACTTAGTGTGATTGGTTATGATCTTTGCTTTTCTTTAAGGGCTAATACCACTGGAAATACCATCCTTTAGCGAAAGTGCCACTTATATTACGTACTTTCAATAAACACAAAAATATTCCAACGTATTAGGGGTTTGTGTCATTTGTGTTACGCACATTTTTATTGACCGTTAGAATTGACGGTTGACCTGACGGTGGTCAACTTATGTTTGACTATTGCTTATGTGGCGCTTAGGTGTCACCCGCTCTGGCGCCGAGACTTCTTCCCACAGAAACCCAATCCCTCATCCGCCTCACTCCCGCCGCCGCCGCCGCTCCCCCCAATCCCTAATTACAACCTGCAGCAGGCCAACATCGACATCCCAATCGACGAAATCAACCGCGCCAAAATCCAATTCCACGCCTCCACGGGCGGGAAAACCTGCTCCACTTTCGAGGCCGTCGCCGCCAGCCTCTGGAAGCACAGATCCGCCGCGATAGATCTGGATCCGAGCGCGGAGGTGCAGCTCGTCTTCTTCGCGAACTGCCGCCGGCTGGTGGACCCCCTGCTCCCCGACGGTTTCTACGGGAACTGCTTCTTCCAGGTGAAGGTGACCGCCTCGATCGGTTCGCTGGCGACGGGGGCGGTGGCCGGAGCGATCGAATTGATTCAGGAAGCGAAGGGGAGGTTGAGGGCGGAGTTCGAGAAATACGTGAAGGGAGAGGAAGGGGAAGAGGATCCCTTTGCGCCGCCGCTGGTGTACACGACTCTGTTCATATCGGAGTGGGGGAGGCTGGGGTTCAACGGCGTTGACTTCGGGTGGGCCCGCCGGCGAACGTGGTCCCGATTCAGGGGTCGGGGATTATACCGGTCGGGATCGTCGGGTGGCTGCCGCTGTCGAGGAAGGGCGTCCGGCTGATGACGTGGTGCGTTGAGGAAGCTCATCGCCCCGGTTTGATCCGCCGTATGGCCGGCGATGGAAATTGAATAACAAGCTTTGGTTTGCTTTTGCTTTTGCTTTTACTTTGTATTGTCCCGGACCGATGATGAAGATTGAAGAGAATAAAACTGGAAAAGTCAACAAAAGGATTGAATTGAACGTGGCGGTTTTCTTCAAGCAGAAAGCAGAGGGACGGAGCAGAGCGGCGATGAGAGATGGAGCAGAGGAGGCGATGGGTGGGTGGCGCCGGGAAGAGGAATCATCCAGATTCTTTTTTATTAAATAATATTTTTAATAAATTTTCCATCTCAGTTGCCCCTTTATGTGCTGACTGTGTTTTCTGTTAATTTCTAACAGAAAATTTAACGGAAGAGACGATTTGGTATACAAATGACATATCGAAAACTATATAATATAAGTGGCACTTTCGCTAAAGGTTGGTATTTCCAGTGGTATTAGCCCTTTCTTTAAAGTGGTCATGGTTTGAATCCTAGTAAGTGTCTTTTTAATGAATAAAAAAAAGTAATTGTGAAGACCAAAATGTCCTTCCTACTTTCACTCTAGATGCAGGAAATTTGATATGGGGCTTCAAGTTTTCTCATTTGGCTTTTATTTATTGTGTAGATAATAATAAATAGTTATAATATTCCAATCTTACCCTTGGACGCATTAAGTAAGTAGTTACTCAATAATTACCAATCATTTTCTCTCTCCTTCTCCTATTGGTTGGAGGGGGTTTAAAATTTTCTTTAAGAACATGCCTTAAAGACCTGATCTGATCCGAGTTGTTTGCCTCTTTTCTGTGCGATGAAATACATAAGATAAGATAGTTCTAGAGCTTTTAGCTTGCACGCAGCATGTACAAAATAAGTTGAATGTTGATTATAGTGACTGGAGTATAAAAGTGACAACAACACCACAGAAAAGGCAAACAACTATCATAGATTTTTTTAGGAGGGTACTCTCGTAATTTTTTGGTACTTTTTTTCAAAAGATTAGTTTCCTTTGATTTTGAGGGTTATAGATAATGTATTCAACCTGAGGTTATTTTCACTGATGATTAAGTCTATTAAGAACATACATGAGCAGATTTTTTCCTGTCCATTTTTGACAGATTCCAAAAGGTACCATTATAGATTTTGGACGATTTTTTCGAAAGACCATTTATCCTTAGATTTGAAAGCTATAGATCACGAATTCGCGCTGAGACTATTCTCCACCGATGATGAAATATATTAATAACCGATTTGGGCGGATTTTTCTCGGATGACATTCTCATAAAATTCTGGCAATTTTTTCGAAAGACCATTTTCCTTAAATTTTGAAAGCTACAGATCACGGATTCGGCATGAGACTATTTTTTACCAACGATAAAGTCTATTAATCACCGATTTGGACGGATTTTTTTTAAGGGTATTTTGGAAACTCTTATGGATGGAGACATGGAGTTGATAGTGTTAGGCAAGGTACTTCCCCAGATTCAGTGGCTAAGCTTCCTGCAATTTTCATTATTATCCCCTCACGTTCATACCGACCTGATATGTTAACTAAAATTTTGCTAGAAATGAATCTCATTTCCATAATCATTGTCGTCATCGACCTAACACTAATACCACCTCCCTTGGATTAAGATTCAAGTCCTAGAAAAAGACAATGAACCTGCTGTTCTATTTCCTTCCCTCAACAGCATCTTCGTTTTTAATAAGGCAACTGAACCTAAATCCATTACCCACTTCTGAACCAAGTTGAAGCAATGAAAAAACAAAACAAACCATGTTTTATTGAAGAGAGGACACAGTACAAACGATGAACATAACATGGAAACTGTTCAAAGCAATCCCCAAAAACAGAAACAAACATAAAACACAACCCACCACGATGATTTGATCTTACAATGGAGCAGACCCAATTCATATCTTTATTCATAAACACAAGAATTCAACAAGACTTCATAACTTTAAACCAGCTGAGTAATTTAGAAAAGCTGGAGTCCATGAGGGTCAGAAGCTTAAAAACATCAGTGAGATTTGCAGTCCAGCAGAAACCCATAACAAAGGAACGGTCGTCTAAAAGCTAAGAGCTTTGTCTTGTTTTTTTGGGGGGGGTTTTTTGGATGAGGGGAAACTGAGTGGCTTTCTGGTGACTCTGAATGGAAAACAATGGCTATGATCCATGGTGGTAGTAGTAGGGTTTGCCTTAAACAGACTTGGTATAGCCTGCAAAAAAAAAGATGGCAAACTGATGATGGTGTGGAGGAAAAAATGTAGTGATGATCTTAGCCAAAGCTTCCCCTGGAAAACAACCAAAAAGCCTGTGTTGGATTTTTCTTGGTTTGGTTTGGTTTAGTAGCAAGGCCTATTCTGCTCTGGGTTAGCAGATTAGGCCAAAAACACGACCAAAAACTTTGCTGGATTCTGCTGCTGCTGCTGCTCTAGGAAATCTACGACGAAACTTAACCGCGGACTAGGACAGGATATCACATCTCCACAAGCTCTCCACTAAAACCTCGACTGTCCTGCTGCTGATGCCATTGCAGTGCTGTAGGTTCAACCCAACAAGGGTCCTCCCCATTCTCTTCAAACAAGTCAGTACCTTGCTTGACAAGTAACAGCAGCCGGACAATGAAAGCACCTGAATGTTCAGCTGCTCAGCATTTGACAGATACCCCATGCCAGCATCTGTTACCGCACACCTCGACACGTCGAGGTCGCTGAGGAACATGCAGTGATCAGCGATGGCAGCCAAGCTGGCATCGGTGACCCTCCTGCAGCCGTCTAGATTCAACACCTCGAGTGATCCACCATGTAGTCTGGCCAAGGTTGAGACCACTTCGTCAGACAAGTTCGAGCAGTCACTGAGGTTGACCTTCTCCAGACCAGCATTGCAGCTCTGCAGAAGCGGGAGAAGTCCAGCGTCTGTGACCCCATGAAGCCCCGAGAGTTCGAGGTGCTGGAGTTGTGGGCAGAGGTTGCCTACGAGAGCTAGGCCGAGACTGCCAAACCCGGGGCAGTTCTTGATGGAGAGGGAGCGGAGAGAGCTGCATTGAGATAATGATGATAGTGAAATTCCTGATGCTGTATCCTTGATCCCCATGCACCTCACCAAGCTGAGAGATTTCAACTTGGCTCCACAGTTTGAGATTGCGCCGATGATTCCTGATTCTGTAACTCTGTTGCACTCTTCCAGCTGCAGGCTCTCGAGACAGCCTGCTGATTTGGTGAAACTCACCAACCCATTATCAGACACAAATGAACACTTGCGGAGGCAGATTTGTTTCAAGCTTGGGCAGCCCTTTGCGATAGCTTCCAGGCCGACATCTGTTGTTCCCCGGCAAGATGTGATCACCAAAGAAGCCAACTTTTCCAGTCCTTTAGCACTGCCCATGACCCAAAACCCTTTCTCGCTGACGAACTGAAGACCAGTGAGGACAAGGCTGGTAACAGCCCTGCCGTAGTATCCAATTACTGCGAGAGAGAAATCAGTGATGTTCAAAGACTGAAGCTTGACCTTTGATATTGCGGGTGACGACGAGAATAGAGCTGATAGACCCTGGTCTCCGATGAGAGGGCAGTCCTTGATGGATAAAGATTGGAGCTTGGGGCAGAACTTTGCAACTGCTTGCAACCCTGCATTGCCAATCCTCGAGCAAGACTCGATGCTCAAAGATGACAAATTGGGGCAGTTTCCAGCGATTGCAGCCAAACCCTCGTCGGTAATTGAAGGACAATGGCAAAGGTCGAGCTTCTCGATCGAATGGCATTCCTTTGCTATCGCAGACAACCCTTTGTCGCTAACCATAGGGACATTCCATAGAGACAGTGTTCTGAGAGAAGGGCAGCCACGAGCTATTGCTGATAGACCAAGATCAGTGACTCCATAACCAGAGGAGTTGTGATTACCTCGAATGCAAAGCTTGCCAAGACCTCCTCGGCTGCTAGTCCCCACAGCAATAGCAGCAAGTCTCAAGTCAGTTGCCTTCTTGCCTTCCAAGGACCTTGTGAGACAGCCATCATCTTCAAACTCCAAGCTTTCACCACTCTCCATCTCCACATCACCACAACTAGAGACCGGCTTGCAAATTTCGGATCTCCTGATGCTGCTCAACACCAAGAGCCACTTCTTGGACACTGAAGCGCATGCGCCCCTCTCTTTGCCTCCAGGGATTCGCCTGAGGATCTCGAAGAGACACTCGTCTGGGAGGATTTCAATTGATGGCTGCCTATTGCTTTCCCCCGAATTGAAGGCGAATGAGGAGCTAATTCGAGCCCTCTTGCAAGCAGGGCTGTATACATCTCCAGCAATTGAACACAATTGTGCCAATTCCATGGGGTTTGCACGGAATGAATACATCTCCCCGTCGCCTGAAAAACCCAAACAACAACATCATCAGCTCAAAGCTCTCATTGGGGCTTTCCCCCCAACAAACACTAAACCCCAGAAAGCAAAAATCCCAAATTTCCTCATACCCATCTAAGCTATGATCAATCAGATTCATAAAATCAAAACAAACGATCGAACAATAAAAAAACCCAATTAGAGAAAAGGTCCAGAAATAACTAACTCACCATTACTGTAGTTAACAAGAGCAGGCATGATTGAACAATCCCAAAAACCCGGAAGAAGAAGAAGATTCCTTGATTTTGAAGAAGAAGAGCGAAATCACCGCAGAAACTTGAGAAAATCGAAACCCAGAAGAGAACATACACCAGGATCAAAGAACCCAGAAAGCCTGAATGCATTCAAAAAGATATGAGAAGCCCACAACTTGAAACCCCTTCCTCGAAGAAGGGGCAAAAAAAGGAAGAGAAAGGAACACACAGAGAGAAAAGGGATGAAGAAGAAGGGGAAGGAGAATGAAGCTTTGGTACTCTGCTACGGAAGAAGGAATTTTACAACTTTTTAAAGCAAACGGAATCATCGAAATGTATTTATATATCACAAAGGGGAGAATTAAAAAAGGAAAGAAAGAAAGAATTCTGTGTGTGCTTACAGCGACAGCGCGAGATGCAATGGCTCTCTACTAGCTCGGCTTCCATGCATTGAATCCTTCCATGAACCTGATTTTTTTTTTTTTTTTTTTTGTCCCGCCCAATTTGCTCTAATCTCTATATGACCGGCTACCGTCTTTTATTTAATTTTTATTTGTTTCCCCTATTTAAAAAATAGCGTAATCGTCTCTCCTCTGTCTTCCCTCTTCCTTTTTACTCTTACCGGCTACCCTTTTTCCTTACTAGCTAATTTTTAACTTGTGCTTTTCTTTGTAGAACATTAGAAATTCGAAATGCATCTTGTGATTATATATATAAGAGGTGATTGTAACTAGATTAGGGAAAATGTGGTTAAATTCTAAAGGTAATACATTGATTAGATTCTTGTATATTGGGCAATAATATTTTTTATTGTAATTAGTATTTTGCTGAAAGGTGATAAAGATAAATCATGTATTATATCGGTTATTACTGAAAATGCTTTGTCAGCTTTTCTAATTTATCGAATTGAATTATAATTTTACTGGCATAAATATAAATCAAGAAATGGATTTAGAAGATATGGATTACTAGTTGGTGGATATTGGGAGATAGCATTCATACGATATTACTGTGCGTAGATTTTCTTGCTATAAGTATGAATGAGAAATTAAATAAAAATTACAACAAAATTGACATAGTTCTTGAAAATAATATTATTATTGAGTAATACATTAATTTGTATTATAATTTATAATGTGTCAATTCCTGATAGGCCCAGTGACTTCGTGATAATGTCTACTCAGATAATCCTTGATGCCAGTTGATACTAAGAGTGCGCCAATTTTCTTAATATATGGAGTTATTAATTTATTGGTATAAATAAAAATAAAAAGTGGAATTCAAAGATACAATTTAGAGAATATATGGATAATTGGATATAGCATTCACACAATATTAGTTCTTATATTCTAGATAAACCTTGTGACACGTTGATGCTAAAAGTGCGTAGACTTTCTTGCTATCGGTATAAATCAATGAATAAATAAAAATGATAATAAATTGATACAGTTCTGAGGAAAGTTAGGGAAAAAATTATTCTTGAGTAAAACATTAGTTCTTATGAAAATATTTACATTGTCAATTCCTGATAGACCTTGTGACCTTTATTGGTACGAACATAAACTAAGAACTAAATTCAAAAGATAATGAATTTGATATGGTATACTGAACATTAGGCGATATTGTTTCCAAGTAAGACATTGATTTTCATTACAGTTAATACTTCACAGAGTCCTGATACATCTTGTGACTTGTCAATACCTAAAAGTGCACAAGCATCTAAAATAAAATCAATTAACTCTTCTCAATCTAAATTTAATTCGAAAATCTAAACTCAAAAAATAATGGCAAATTAATATATGACATTGCAAATATCAAACAGTACATTCATCCACTGTTTCGAGAACCACATTAATTGGATAAAAAAACATGTGCATTCGATCACAACCGATACTTCACTAATCCTCCTGATGTGCGTGACTAGTTAATACTTAAAAGTGCACAAATCTTATCCAATACATGGAATATTAACTTTCTCATCATACATCAGAAGTATATATGTACAATTTTCCTTAATGAATACTTACTTATAAGATTTCAGAAGTAGCTAGCCAATGGAATTTTGGTTCATATTTACAATAATAATTCAATTTTGTGCTATAGGTGGCCTGGTGGTGGGTTGAATTTGAAAGTCTGACATATAACAACTTTTGCAAGTTGATGAGCCAGTGTCCATGGATGGACCAAAGCAGCAGAAAAAAGGGAAAATGGGTTAAGCCAGGTGCATGAATGGTTGAATGAATGTGCATTATATGTACATGGTGGCTCTGGGCTGGAGGGACCTGGCTGGCTAAGAGGGCTTGGATTGGCTAATTTTGGGTTGAGTGAGTTGTTTCCAAAGTTAATTAATATATAATGGCAATTGGGGCAATTGGGAAGAGGGCATTAGGGATTTGGGGGGAAGTATTAGTACTAATTAATCCCCAATTTTGATGTACTTTTGCCAGCTGCTCTTTGTGCTCTGTATTATAATTTGCTAATCCAAGTAATTAACCGACCCTTTTGGCCTATGGATTTGGTTTAGACTTTGTGCCATTCTATGTTTTTTTAAACTAGATTACGGCAATTTGCTTGTTTAAAATTTCCCTCTAATAAAAATATATTTCCTTACAACACTTAATTTCCAGTGATTCATTAATTAGCATGATTAATGGGTTGCTCACTGAATTGATTTGTTGATGAATGTCACCCACTTAATTAGTCAATCTATTAATGGGTTATGAGTTTAATTAAGTCATATAAGGTGGCCAATGGATGGGTCAGGTGAGTAACCTTATGGTGACACTACCATGCTATCTAGGGGAATGGATGAGGCCAGTAACCTTATGGTGAGTAACCATGAGTAACCCGTCCACATCAGCATGACATCAGTATCCTCTCTCTCCTGGAAAGCCTTTAATTTTCCCCTCTTTAATCTTTGACGGACGATTTCTCACTCATTTTAAGTTGAATTTTTTTTTGCACAGTTAGATCAGATTAATTGTTCTCTTCAAAATGATATCCACTTTAATATATTTTTCGAGCAAAAAAAATTGAGCCATTTTTTGCCAGTCTATACCATATGGTATTGACTGGTATTGAAATAAAAGCATACCTATGGTTTGAAAAACGTACCATGGTGGTATGAACAAACCAAGACTGTAGGATGGTTGAATACATGATAGTAGAAGTATATTAATTGTCATTTACGACTTTTAACATTGTATACCACACAATACCACCCCGTACCAGGGTGGTATTGTGTGGTATTTTTTGGTCCTGTAATTTGTTCACCCAGAAATTTGTAGATCCAATAGATCATGATGAACTCGTCCCTTCTGTGCAAACTTTTTCAAAAACGAATTAAAAACGAAGAAGATACCATATGGTATGCAGTTGGTACCGAGAGGCCAGATTTTTTTCTCAAAAATATTGAAAATTGATATCATTTTGTATATCAAGGTGAACTCGTTCCATCTGTGCAAAAAAATTAAAATCCGAGTTAAAACGAAAAAAATATGAGTCAATTAAAAAGCTAGAAAAAATAAAAATGGTCTTTAATTCTCTCCTTTCTTAAGTCTGAATTTTCTAAATAAAGGTCCATATTTGATTATTGATGGGTGCATAACCCATGGTTATGCACCCTATCTTGAGCCTCTATCTAGGAGTCATTTGACAATCATGTATTTTAGAATACATGAGTTTCAAAATATTATGCATTTTATAAGTGTGATTGTAAGAGTTCATGTAATGTCAAAGTACAACATTTTGTATGAATGAATTGTAAAGTAATGTTGATGCATTTGTATTAAATAATAAAATTGTCGGAAAACAATAAAATACCAATTTTGCCATTTACTTTTGATTTATTATCAATCATTTCTACTATAGACAACAAAGAGGACATGTTTTTTGGGTCTTGCCAATTTGGATGAATTCTCTAAACCTACAGAATTGGAGAGTACATAATATATTAGCACATAATTAGATTTTGCATGAATCTAAGCTCTAAAGCCATGATATTAGCTACAACGTCAAGCCCAGAAAACAATGGATGATGAAATATCATGAATTTAATTCAGGGTAGGCCAAACGAACAATAACTTTTGAAAGTGTCACACGCACTATGTGTACACAACTCATTCAAATATCTGATCAGCTAACTAATCTAATTAACGAACTCATAAATCATCTAATTGAGTCTCCTCCAATAATTCGATCTGTCATCTGTATTTGACTTGATTAAAACCCACCGCATTGACCATCCCCACCATGAATTCGACCCCTCCAAAAGAACCATTCATCTCATTCTTCAAGTTATGAGGAAGCTTTCCTAAGCACATAACAAACTTAGGCCAGGTTGAAGGACATGAACCAAAGAAGAAGTCAAAACCAGTACAATCTTCAGGGTTTCCATCAATAGTCTCCTTCACCAACTTCCATAGGTCAGAATTTTCGGTTCCTTCCACACACAACAATGTATACGGTTTCCATCCTACCAAGAGAAAAGTGGTTTTCATTTCTTTGAAAAAAATGGTTCAATCTTGGCTTACAATTTACAGCGTTGACTACATATTTAGGAAAGGACAAATGTGTCTTCAAAGGTGCAGAGAGAGAGGAGAGTTCATTATTTGTTTGCCACTTTGGTTCACTTGCCTTGGACAATTGGGGTGTGATAGTAAAATAAATGGGGTGTTCAAATGGTTACCATGGTTATTATCAAATCAAATAAGGCTAAATTTTATTAACCATGGAATACAATATCATAACCAAACCGTTCAAACTAATACAACAATCAAATTAACCAAATTAAAATTTAAATCGGTTTGGTTAATAGGTTAACCAGATTAACCAATATAAAATCACATTATTATTAAGTGATAAATTTTTGGTTAATTTATCATTTCACAATTTATATAATGAATAAAACATAAAAATCAACACTTAGTTATAGTCGACCCTTAACATAAATACATGCAACTAAGACAATTATCTTACGGTTAGTATATAAGTATTCACCTAACAAAAATTTCTCACAATAGTATGGGTTAATGAATTGTTGTGTTAGTTTGAATTAACTTAGTCTTTTAGCAATTTTCATAGGCTGAAAAGGACATTGCTTTCAAATTTTCATCTAACATAATGTATGAGATTTATCTAAATTAGGCGTTCAAATGTTGTGGTCTACACTCTACATATACAAATATACATTCTAGGAACAATATCAAGCTTTATATTTTATGAGTCTAAAAGGGATGAACGTTTAACTCTTGAGTGGTTATTCAAAGTATTAAGTATGTGTATATATTAGATATATGACTAATTATATATCTGGTCAATTTGGTTTGGCTGGTTAGGAGTGTCTGAAACAAAACCAAACCACCTAAACCAAACAAGCTAAAATCTTTAACCAAACCAAACCAATTAACCAAATTAACCAAACCAAATTATCCAAATAGTATTCGTAAAAAAAAAAAATCCAAATAGTACTGGTTAAAACGGTTACCATGGTAACCACACCGTTTGAACACCCCTAAAAATAAGGGGTCGTTTGGATGGAGTATTTGTATGAGTTATTTGGGTTCAAATAACTCATAATGAGTTATTTGGACGCAAATAACTCGTTTGGCAGCGTTTTACTGAAATGAGTTATTTGGACAGTGAGTTATTTACAAATAACTCAAAACCAGTTATTTG